GACATACTGGGTATCGGAGTAAAGGGTGACGTACTTGGTGTCACGGTACAGGGTAATGTACTTGGTATCACGGCACTGGGTATCACGGTACAGGGTCACGTACACAGTACATTGCAATAGTTAATTGAGATAATGGCTATTTTGATTATAAGGTTATAGTTATTTGAGTCATATATAAGTCCAGTGTTTTATATGTTTAAATTTTTGTCATTATTTATGGTTTAACAGTTACTTGGTCCAAGATTGGTAAAGAACTGTAGGCACTATGTAGTACGTACAACTTTCTATGTAGTATAAACGACTACAATTTGTATCTGTGTCGTTGAAACTACTTATTAGTATCTTGTATAATTTGTTATAATAACATAGCTTTTTCGAGATAGTAAGTCGTTATAATGACATACTTCAGTCGTTATAACAAGATAGTAAGTCGTTATTATGACATACACTATGTAATTGAGTCATTATAAAAAGATAGTAAGTCATTATTTTGACATAATTGAGTCGTGATTACAAGATAGCTGTGTCGTTGTCTCAGGATAATACGATGTTATGACAACTTAATACTGTTTTCGCAGTGATGCATAACGGCTTCTGTATTTTTGATAACCGAATAATCTGATATGAAAATTTGGTAATTGACGTCAACATTAAATTTAAAAAAGCATGCATATCTGTTAGAGCGACGCTATCTTTATTTCTTTTACTAACTGGACATTTCCGATAGAGTGAGTTATATAATTATATAACCTTTGGTACAGTACTATATATAAGATCAATAGTGAACTATGTATGTAATTATTTAGAGTTAATTATATATCGGTTTAATTATAGATACCTCATATATGACCAACTGGCTGCGAAATACATTTTTATTGTTAAAGTACAAACTTGTTTACGTCTAATAATGTAAACGACTGCAGAAATCAGATATCAGATATCAAATATCAGATATCAGAAATCAGATATCAAATATCAGATATCAGAAATCAGATATCAGATATCAGATATCAGAAATCAGATATCAGATATCAGATATCAAGACTAAATTATGATATGATGTTAAAACTTTCCCTATGGCAGTCTATAAAGATATATAGCGCAAAATTGAAACTGAAAAAAACAACAAAAAAAACCTGAAATTTTCTTTTTAAAACGGAGAAGCAATACTGTTCCGATTGTATTGTAAATGTCGAGCGGGGTCTCGATTAGTTGGAGTATGTGCGCATATTGCGGCAATACTTTGGTACCTTGGATATGCCCAACATTGTGAAAACCTGTCATATGGAGTCAAAGATTGGGAAAGATGCATTGCGGATGCTAGCCAGATTCCGGAAGTTGTTGACGAGAGTGACAGTGATGAAAGCGTTGTTGAGGAATGAAGTATTGTGAATAACTTATCTTTCGCGAGATATTAATTATGGCTTTAACAAGTTTCTGTTAAAGAATTTGTCTCAAAATAAAATATAATTGTTTTGTTTTTTGAAATGAAGTACTCATTAAATCTAGAGATTATTAGGTAAAGTATGTGCTAAATATAAGTCATTTACAATAATGCTAAATAGGAAATGAAATATCTTAGAATGAAAAGTGATGGTGAAATATCTTTCCACACTTACTGGGACATACACTGACTCACTAGTATTGGCAAAGTTTCTTGTCATCTTTGTTAGTAGCAATATCCGGTGTCAACTTACCTGAACACTGCTGTCTAAACGGCACAACGTGTGTTACCAATTATGTGTATATCTTAACGCTGTTGATTAACTTGTTTTACTTTGTTTTCCTGAAGCTCTTACTCAGTTACCTAGTATGTTATTTTTACGGTTTAGATCAGACTAATAATGTAATTTCTTGATAGCATTGTATATAAAAGCATGTATATGTTACACATTCTTCAGAGAACTCTGTGAAATATTAGTGTTTTTTTCATATGTTTGGTGTCATTCGTAATCCTTACAATCACATACTAGAATAAAAACATGCATCCTGAAAACATCTATTTCACCAGAATTATCAAGCATTATCAAGCATACGTCGAAAAAACTCGGTCCATGCAGAGAGATATCTATATATAATAACTATGGCTGTAACGATACACATATGCCCCGATACGATACGTATCACGATATCTACCGATACGATACACTTTGATACGATACAGGATGACGAAATGTTATGATTCCTTTTCAAATGCGTCGCCATGTTTGATGTGTTCCCTGACTTGTAACTTAAATCTACGAAACACAGTACTTTAAAATTACCATCACCAGAGGGCGGGGTTTTACATTCGTTTCCGGACGTTTTGTCAACGCCATTAAACATTTCAATGAATAATGAAATATTGAAAAATATACCTATACAAGCATTCATGAAGTACCCGTGTATTCACTTTTATCGAGAACAATGTAAGAAAATGTGTCAAATCTCCAGAATAATGCCATATATTTCCACTGAATAAATCATAGCTAAGCACAAAGCCAACAAGGCTAACTGAAGTTGGAAAAAAGCATGCAAAGCAAGTGAGATTTTACCTGTACGCCATTCAAAACACCTTCAAGTTCTCACTCAGGTAATCTGGCTTGACTTGTATCAATAGCCTTGCTAGCTTCATGAATTATTGTAGAATATCCAATGCAAATACATGAAATCATTCTTTTTGAAGCAGTTTCTTACATTTTTCTGGTTAATAGTGAAAACATGGATACTTCAGGAATGCATATACAGGTATTTTTTACATGAATTAAAATATTCAACGTAATTTTGGGCCACTCAACTTCTGACTTCAAAAATTGAAAAGGGTGGGTCAACCGTTGACCAATGAAAACATTTACCAGAATCCCGGTAAGCCTCGTTATGATGTCACAAAACAAAAGCACTGGGTTTGACCAGACTCTCTGTTCGGCGTAGCTTGGGCAGGCAACAAGAGTCTGGTTGAACGAGACTAATATATATGGCGACGTGAGGTTGTGGTAGAGTGATCGAAACGTATCATAGTAGAAAGGTGGACATTCGTTCCATTATCTCTCAAAATTAAATTTTCTATATGTGTTTATATATTTTTTTGTATGTCCGACCCCATTCCGGGTGCAAGGGTCTTGGTGATATAGTGAAACAAAAAAACGTATTTGCATACTTAAGAAATAAAAATTATAATATATTTTGTCTTCAGGATACACATTTTACAGCAGAAAAGGAAAATTTAATTCGGGCTAATTGGGGTCTTGACTGCCTTTTTAATTCCTACAATTCAAACTCTAGAGGGGTTGCCATTCTTTTTTATAATAATTTTGAATATAAGATTTTAACACTATAAAATATGACAATGGGAATATTTTAGCTTTTAACATCCAATTAGAAGGTGAAAAACTTGAAACAGTGCAATTTGTTTTAAAAGAGTTGAAAAATTTTCAGTTTGTAATATGTGAGGATTTTAATTTAGTTATTGATCCGAAATAAGACTGTGACAATTATCGGCAAATAAATAACCCAAGGCTAGAGATAAAGTGTTAGGACTTAAACAAGAACTAATCTTAATATTAAATTCAGGAAGACTAAAGGGGCACAGGATATTTCTGCTGTTTTATGCCAAAATGATAGAAAACCTACGTCACAAAGGAAATGGTCTACATTCAGGACAAATAATGGAAAAAAATATACATGTCCTTTTAAAACTACTGATAGTACTAAATTAAGATGGCTTCAATGCCAAATTAACCATATAATCTTCACTACATACATACTCCTACATAAAATGAGAATAAAACAAAATTCAACTTCTACTTTTTGTAAAAAATATCCAGGAACAATTGAACATCTATTTTGGGATTGTGGTAAAGTATGTGAAATTTTGAGAGAGCTTAAACAATTGCTTGCAACCAGTAATATTGATTTGAATTTTGACAAACAGGAATTTTTATTTGGACAATTCAGTTCTAAGGATGCTGATTTGAAAGTGGAAAATCTTATCCTTTTATTGATTAAACAATACATTCTTAAACTGAAATGTCTAGAAATGGAACTTAATATAACGAGTTTAAAGAATCACATAGTTTTTGAACTTAAATCTTATAAGATCTTGATAAATAAGCATAAAACCTGCATACATAATATAGACTTACACAATAAAGTGGAAAAATGGCTTCTCTTATAAAATAACGTGAACAATTATCATTACACTATTTAAAAGAAAGGTTTGCNTTTGCAATCCCCCCACTTACCCCCGCGTGTGTGTGTGTGTATGTGTGTACAGTATATAATTGGTCTCTTGTAAAGAGGTGTCCGTTGTGAAGGGAATTGTATTCAATGTTATGTATGCTTGTTGCTTTGTGTATAAATGTGTTGTTTATAAAAAATAAAAATTGAATAACAAAAATATTGCATGTGACATCCTACAGGTGTAAAGTCGTCATTCAATATACTTACTGGCACAGTCGGCATATATATATATATATATATATATTAGCTATAGTCTAGTTATGATTAAATCATCGACATATACTTTGAAGAAATCAATCGGCTGAAAACGTATCAATGTCAATGTTCAATTCGGCCTCACCTGCAGACGACATGTGCGCCTCGGTCCGCCGTTATTTTCCTGTTTAAGTAGGGCACAAAGCCGTTCATTGGAAAGTTACATATTATGTTACACCGAAGTATTTCCACATCAACAATGTCAAACCCTTCAAAACCTTTATTATCATCGTATGTGACGCTGGAGAATAAATGTTTACGCTACACATATATGGTTAAATTCCTGAAGTCAGGTCAGGTAATACTAAAAACCGAACCGAAACGAAAAACGGGGAAAACATATAGGCGAACACCGAACCGAAGCAATTTAGCGCGGTTTTCGGTGCACCGCGGTGTATCGTAACAGCCCTACCAGATTAACGTTAAGACATTTTGTTGATGGTTAAGTAGTTTGTTGATAATTAAAAGTACAAAGCAAATAGTTCGAAATTCAGGTTTTTTTTTATTTTTTTTTCTAAACACTCCTTTATAGTCATTACTTCACGATCTAAATTGAGGCAAACGCTGAGCGGAACTAATTTATATGCATACATATATACAAATATATGTATCAATCTGTATGGAAATCTATCTACGCGTAATTATGTTGCTTCAAACGTTAAAACAACTGTTTCATCCAATAACTGCATATGAAAATAAATCTATTTTAAAATACTGGGTTATATTATTTAACTAAGCGCACAAAAACAAAAACAAACCGAGTAGAAAGACATGTAAATAATCTTTCATTGTCGATGGAATGTAAACTAAGCGCACAGTATATGCATATTACAATATTCCTGAGGAATATAACACAAAAAAACGAATTTAGGAATTTTAATATTCCACTAGGGATTTTTGTTTTAATTTAAAATGTAATTATATTTGATAGTATGATTACGTTCATTCTAGCAAGAATTGACATGTTCTATTCAAAGGGTCTTTAAAGAGAATAATAAATATGCTACAGAAAGAAAACGAGAAAACTAATTATTATTTTAGACACTGGAAAAGGACAAGCTAATTCGTGAAACGATCAACTGAGCTAACCTATTTGGTTTTTATATGAATCTATATCTAATATAACAATTTGCTATTCTAATACAACTATCTAAGATATACTTATAGTTTTCATATTCACAAATCGTCCAGTATGGATTAACTGGTTCAAATAGCACAAACATCTTGTGATTCAACTATCGTTTATGAACCTGAATCCAGGCACTATATCATCAGGGAATTGTCAATTCAAATTGATTGTAACGACAACATAGCGAACTATCACGGCCGTCAATGCATACCTTGCATCCTGTTTATAGGTATATATACACTGAGTACATATAGACCAAAGAGTTTCTGGTAAACTATCACCAATTGAATATTCTCAGTTCTTTGGAAACGACAATTTGAACTTATTTTATTTCTTGTAATGGGTGGCAGCTGGAGGGTTGGAATACACATGCAGATCTTCGTAGGTTTCCCCAATATACTGATCATGAACATGCATCCTGAAAGCAAATATAAATGACGTAAAAATGAGTTGCATTTGAAATGTAATAATTTGTCAATACCTTATGAACGTTCCAAATTACATGAAGCTTAGGTATCGATTTTTTTCGTAAATATCAAACTAAAAGACACATTTTTTCAACCACTACAAAGATATTGTTGAAAAATCATATTTACTGATGACGCTAAACTGAACCTGTTCAAAGTCTGAATATTTCTGATCAAGCATAATCACATAATTGTAATAGTGGCAGCATCGTCTGCTTAATTCACATAACACAGCCAAGTTCTCTAAGATTGACAATTGATGTATACATAAATATATCTAAATTTATTAAAAAAAACAACTGATATCTTACTTTGACTTGACGCAAAATTTATACAGGACTCCTCCAATAATTGCAATGAGAGCCAAGCCTCCTAGGACGGCTCCGATGATCCACATATTAGAGTTCTTGTCATTGTTGTGATCGTCTTCTTTATCATCGCCGTCATCGTCGTCGTGCTTTTTATTGTTGCGACACTTTTCCGAGCTGAGAGAGTAGCAGACATCTCCAGTCACGCAGATATCGTTCTGATAATGAACAATTGCATGCATATGCAATTTAATCTTTTGAATGCAAAGACATATACTGTATGTAGTTAACGGAAATGGAAGAAATTTGATATACAAGTGAAAGTGTGTTAAAAAGCAAAATGAATAGCTGAAATGTGTGTTATGGGACCATACTAATATTTACTTATATATTTACATTCTGATAGAGTAGTTATTTCGAACAGTTCTTTCAACAGCAAATTGAGTCATGACAAGAGTAAACTTGAAGACGTCACAAAAGAGAGTGTTGACGTAACGATAGCAAACGTTGTTATAGTGTCACATCAATATTTGTCTTATCAATGCATTTCATTGAAAGGAAGAAGAGCAGATGTATATATATATAAATGAACACATTCATAATTATGTATCCGAGAGTTTTGTCCTGGTCCATTTAATTATACATTTGCAATATTGTATTATTTTTGCATTGTGATATATTAGTCAGATACACTGATTATGATATTCTAGCTACAAATTTATCACTAAAACCAATACATTGTTTACTAGCTAGAGGCAAAATATGACCTTCCTTAATGTGTGCTCAATTAACTGAGCATTTTGTATAAACAGGACAATTATTTCAATAATGACGGAAGCACTTTTTCTTACCCTTTGCTTGCATACTATGCGCCCACCAGGCATCGTGCACATCATGCATGTCGAGTCGTAGATGACCACTGGTACAGGAGCACTGTAGTTATTGGCGTTATTGGACACAGAAACCATAAGCTGAGTGTACCTAGACAGAGAGGAACTACCAGATCGCCGCTTCCTTACATTGCCAAGGGGACATAACACCTCGCTGAAAGATTTCTTAATTGCCCCGATTGTTGACACGGTATCAACAGTAGTCGTATCTGCATCATTACCAGACTAAAAGTAATAAAATCAAGATAAATTGAATAATCGGTTATCGTATGTGGAATATTTTTCGAAAATAGGGGAAGCATGATAAAGGAAAGTATAGCACAACAAAAACATAATAAGAAATACATTATTACATTTATAATGGAATAAAATAGTATCCAAGTAACGTTAACAACAACTGAAAGCATTTGTAAACCTCCATACTTCGTATTTCTTAATTTATGTCAGAATTGTGATGACAAAATAGATATATAAAATACCTAAATAGATAAGTTTTAATAAAATGATATATAATAGAAGTTATGTAAACTGTATATGAAAACATGTTTGAACTTGTATTTTTCATTTTATATCAGAAAAGTGATCACATAATATATATATATATATATATATATATATATATAATAAACATCAATCCGCCTGAAGAAGCCCTAGAAGGCAGAAAGGCCTAGCGGACGATCTGAAAAATTTGTTTTTATTCTATATTTTCCTTCGCAAGGACTTATTTATTGATTATCTACTATATATATATATATATATATATATATATATAAATTAATGAATTATAATAAAATGAGACATTATGTAAATTACCACACGCATACCTTCATAACTTGTATTTTGCATTTCATGTCTGAACTGTGATCAAAATTTGACCCGAATAGCGATACCCCTCCACAGCTGGCCTTGGATCGGTCGCATAGGTTGTTGCTGGTTGGAGGGTATAAGACAGGACTTGCGTTAATGTCTATAGAACAATCGGGTCCAGTATATCTGTTGAAGCATTGGCAGGTTCCTATGTACAAAAAGACGTTAATCATTAAAGTCCTTATATTCCCTATCGGACATCTTGTGGATGAAATAGCGTACTATTATAACATAACACATATCACATCATAACTACACATATGAGTATTGAGTTGACAAGGCCATTTATTGTGTTTTCTTAGTTTACCTTGTACACAAGTTCCACGAGCCACATTTTCCTGTTTACAATCGTTTGGACATTGCATAGCCATGACCTCTTCTGCTGGTGATATATGGCCTTGAGTGGAAGATGTCCAGAGACTTGTGTTGAGTCGTACCTCGTTGCTACATGTCGACTTGAACGACTCAACCGCTCCCGAAGAGAACTTAGTATGTCCCGTTATCTTCAGGCAAAACAATACATATCTTGATCGTTTAATAAAGGTACCAAAAAGTAATAATAAAAGATATCAATATGATTCATAGACATTGCTTTTCTATGTTGTAATGTGTAAACAACATCATCGTACATTTATAAAATTATATATCGAAGTTGCCTATGACAACTATTTAAGGCTTTCACTTTCTGGTAGACAACAGCAGCCAATTGCATCTTCCTTTTGCATTTATTTTAGTGTAACAAAACGTTATATAATGTAGGGTTTGATCCATAGGCTTCCAATGGCTGATTTCTAATTACTAGGGGATTAGGGTGAAATAGTATGGGAGAAAGGGCATACGATACTTGCCTAATCTATAAAATATTAACCCTGATATAAATTCATGATGTTTCCGTTAATGATAAAATTCAAATTCAAATATTCGTACAAAACATATTATTGGCCATTATTCTTAAACAGGAATTGTTTACAAAAGTCTTGAAAATTCATCAATTAGACGTTTTGATTCGTTCGGCAACATTTATTCTCTTTTTGTTATTGCCATACATCTAGTATCTGGTAATCAACATATTTATATTGTATATTAGTCCGTTTAAGTTAATTTATTTTACCTGTATGTCACTAATACATATAGAAATGCTGTCAGAGTCATTAACAGTTGTATGCCGTTTGCATGCTGCAAATGCACTGCTTCCTGTTATAATTCGTGTGCAGTATTCTGTAGCAGACGTTCTGTTCCATCCATTTTTCCATTCTGCTAGCTGTAAGATACATCAACTCGAATGAAAGTTGAAAATGGAAGAATAATTTTAATCCGTATTCCTTTTTTTAATCGTATATCTTCATTTATATTTAGTAATACCATTCGTTTTGGTGATATTGACCGATCTACAGAAAAGTGCGTTAACATAATATTTAACATGTATTGATAAACGTAATCTGATCGTCAAGTTAGTAAATGAAGAACGAAATATCTATTTAAACAGACATTTCTTTTTTGATGCTATAATGAAAGCAATTACATTTGAAGGTGGAGGTTGATAGGCTACAAGACTCAACGGTGCATCGATTTCAGTATCATCAATTAGTCCATCGGCATCCCTTTTGCTACGATATGAACATTCCTGTTCATTCCAGTTCAAAGAGGGACATAGAGGCAGCCCTTCTCTCCATGAACAAGTCGCAGATTGATGAAAATCTGTGCCTATCACATTATTACAAGAACAAAAATAATATGGTCTGTCCAGTTTTGCGGTCCTCGACTTTTCAACAAACATGCTCTCCGTTGGGGAAACACTGAAAATGATAGTAATAAGTTATATACTTTTTTCCATGAACAAATATTACACTTTTACTTCGATAAAAAAAAACTACAAACTATGACAACTCGACCTTGCCAAGGTTAATTACCGGCTTTTCATCTGTATTTGTGTTGTAAATTCGGATAAACATAAATACCAGTTCTTGCCACACTTATAACTACTAATGAGAGTTTATACCTTTACAATATTTTGCACTGGTATTTGTTTCCAAATATCTGTTTAGGGAGTGTACATTGATTCAGTGTAAAATTGAATTTGAAGGTGGATACTTAGAAAAAGCACTTTCGACCAATCAGATAACAGGATTCTTACATTAAATTCAGTTATTTCCATAAACTTTAAATTTAACCGGCAAATGAATGGCAAAAGAAATGCAACTAAACTCTTTTGATCATGCAGTGACGTATTCCAAAACTTATTATTTAGAAACCATTTCCTGTACAGTCTGGCTTTTCTATATTCAACTAGATATACCTCCAGGCTTTGGTAAACTGCTCATCACTGGATACAGTTTTTCCAGATCTATCTATTCGGTCGTCATATCGGTTCCCGTTAAATGTACCGCACAATCCCTCTGTTTTGTTCCATTCAGATGGCGATATGTGAATCTCTACATCGAGATAATGTGACTGGTAAATTGGACTTATCTTGATTACTATATAGGTACCAGAGGGTAGATGTACCTGGAAAAATAAACATGGATTTTAACTAATGAATAATCCTTTTATTTATCGGTAATTAACAAATGCTTGTGTTTGTAATGGTAAAACTCCATCATTAGGTTTTCATATACTTCTATAATTGATTTTGTAAAAAGTACTTAGTTTAGAGGGCATTTTTTTAGCGTATAATCGATTTTGAGAGATTAGCGCATTGATGAATAGGTGCACTCGCAATAAATGCAAGAGGGGAGTATATTCATAGTCTAGAAACAGTACAAACATAATTACGTTAATATTTATAGCGAGAAAGAAAAGGTCGCTCAATTAGAAAACCATTAAAATATGTACATTGTACACTTACACTATATCACAGTCATGAAATATGATTGTATTTCACAAATATGACAGGAATAAGATATTAAGTGATATACATGTTTAAAGATTCCTATAATGCCCCTCTTTTGAATATTTTTGTTATTCTTTATGGCTTCAGACTGTTAAAAATACATCCTCATGTTATGTTTAAAATGTGTCCTAAATAAACATTACTTTTCATTTGTTCATCCTGTCTTGAAATAAAATGATTTCGTATGCAATACGAAATTCCATTACACTTGAGTAAAAGAGAAATTAAAGGGACATGGAAGCGGTCGTATACGCTTTGATGTTTCCCAAAGACTTGGTCATATTATTGATCGTAGAGAAACAAAGACAAGACATATTTCATATTCCATTATCAATAAATAAAGAAATACACTAGACCTTCAAGATGCCCCTGCTATATAAATAGATGATATATTAGACATGATTATAAGCGTATATCAGCTGAATGTATTAATATGATCCGTGTGTATGGAAATAGTAACCAATTTATCAACTTAGCTAATAGATGAAATAATATCAACAACATTATTTAATAATCTGTCATATATAATGAACGATATTTGTTACGTTGATGTTTTGATATTCCCTTGTTCTAAAGGTTCTGTGGAATGAAAATACAGCTGATACGCAAACAGTTTTTATGATACAGGATATACTTACTTCATAATTGCGTCCATTGTCCTTCTCATAGATATCTAGTCGATTTGTGTCTTTGCTGCAATACCTTTTGAATACCCATTTACCGGGATATTCACATCCGTATATAATAAATATATCGGCTCCCGCCTGAACTCCAACGGCACAGTTTCCAAAATCTGTTATGTTTGTTGAAATAGTTTGTACCTGCAACAACAAAAACAACAACAAAGTGAGTGTTTACATTTTTTCAATAACAGATAGTTGTATGTTGACTACGCATACATGAAATCACGTAATAAATGTAATGTATTGCTTTACGAAGACACCTAAACAGGATATTAAATGTTAAAGCAAAATTAAAATATTTGTTGTCTCATCTATTGTGTATACGAAAATAAAATAATAATTGTCTCTGTTTTTGAAGTAATGCTATTTTTATCATGATTCAACTGCTATTTAAACACTAACTATTAAATAAAACACGATGGTGTGGAATAAAGTTCGTCATCTTGTACAGAGTGATGTTAAACATATAATATAAATTTTCATTTGTTAAATCAATTGCACATTAGCATATTATACAATTTTGACTCAAAAATACATTTAATAAAGCGTATTACCATTCAAGAACAAACGGGCTTTCACCGACCATGTGAAATGTTTTCCAACCAATAAGGTTTTGTAGAGAATAAATTCAATGTTGATAAAAACGGATTTCGAACGTATATCAATCTTATTTAAGTTTTGAAAGGAAGGTTTATGTTCATAAACATAAATTGCCAGTTAAAGTATATTTTGATATTTAGAATATATCTACTTACTGAATATGGCTTTTCTTTGTTTTTGTACAAGATATATTCTCCAATAGAAGCAAACTGACGACTTTGCAATAAGAAGAAAGAAACAAATGTGTAATGTCAAATATAAGTAAAACAATTTAATATTAATTAGATAAGGATAGCATTGTTAACTGTAACAATAAATTCAATTCATTAATTCGAAACCTGCTTCGTCATAAAATGCATTATTAAGCAGGAATCTATATAATATGACCCCCTATACTATCAAAATACCGGAAACAATCCGACCGACTATTGATAAAAAGTGTAAAAAAGAACGAAAAAATCTGCAATATGCATCTGCAGTGCAAACAGATATTACGTATGTTCTTGAGTGTGTTCAAAGCATATATTTCGTTCGTTGTATTGAACGGTTTAGTTCTCAGACTTCGAAAAATGTAGTTTGGAGTGACACGAATCATTATTGGCATATAACTGCTCACCCATAATATGAAGTACTGTCAAACTGTTTTATATGTGGATCTGTAATGGACTTGCAAACGTGTCCTTTCTTTGACGCAACACCCGGATCTGTTATTACTACCTGCAAGTATATTAATTAAAAACAAATAAGACAAACGTTACGTTTTGAAATGTTTCCAAAATATATGTACACGAACAATAAACCATATGGTTTGTTTTGAAGCAAGGAATATTGCAAAGGGGAAACGCGGTGTTCAAATGAAGCTCTCATTCTTACATACACAGAGTTTATATCTAAGGATAACGATTTCTAATTTTGCGTCACACACAATTACCTGATAAATTAGTTATCAGTACAATTTTGAATTTTTAAAAACGTTATCAACTCTTTAGAAAACTTAGAGTATTGATACAATACACAACCATCAATAACAAGTTTAATATGTCTTGTTTATTATTTTATGTATTTTCAAACGAAGACATTACAAGTAAGTGTGTTATTTGTATGCCTTCCTGGGATTATAACAGAATCTTAGATTTAAGGATTTGCTAATCGTTATTTGTGATTGGTTAAGTCGAAACTTACGATAACTTTAGACTTAAGATCGTGTCATGATTGCGAGGCCTGACATGGTGTACATATTGATGTAACCGAATGTGGACGACTGTGACGTCACATTTCATCTGTAAAACTACCAATATAAATAATTAAGAAAAAATAATAAATTAATCATAAAAATTAATTTGGTAAATACAACTTACTTTTATATCTGGCAATACGAAATTGTTCCAAAGACTGTCATAATCGTTCTGAAGAGTACGTAATTTTAGGATCGCTGTATACTGTGATCTATATTGTTGGTCAGCTAAAGCAGATATGACCATATTTTGGTAAGTACGCCAGCGGAAGCCGTCAAACTTAACACCGCAATGAGAATGATTGTGATGATCCAGCTTTGTCATATTTCTGTTGCACTGCGTGTTCCTTGGCAGCTGTTCAGACAGATCAAACATTTCTATGTATATCGTGCAATGGGGACGAATAGAAGGGCAAGCTATCGGGACAGTCGTTCGGATTCCGACGACTGCAGTATCTCCGCTATTCACTGTGATCCGTGGTTGCCTTATCTACAATTTACAAACAAAACATTATGGATCTGGTATGGTATTGAGTTCTTTTTTATAGAGAATATATTTATGAAAAATGAAGTAATACAATGCATCAGCAACTGCAAAGGCTGATATTTATATAGACAACATATTACTTATTTGTTGATTTTATGCATAATTAAATTTATCAAAGGTTGTATTTTTACAGTTTTATATCAAAGTCGAAATTGAGAAACGATCTCTCGAATGAAGTACATACCATGAATATGCAATATTTTGATTTCACAACTCAAATTGCGCACATGGTTATCATTGATGAGGATTATAGCTCGAGTGAATTATTTCAAATCCAACAAAAAATTGATGTAATCTGATATCTAAGGTGAACTCAAATGTGGTATTGACATTATTAAATATCATACTTTAATATATATATAAATACATGTAAAAAAGAAATAAACAAGTCCTTGCGAAGGAAAATATTGTAACGTGACGGGGAGGAGGTTTCCAGAATACAACATTTCACTGCAAAGTTATATTGACAAGTTTATTTACACTTTATATACAACTTACAACATCACGGTCAGCATAGTCCATGACAACACCTGAGATAATCCCTTAGCTAATGTATCTCAGCTAAGCTATACAGGAGACAGCCTTATCACGTATGTACTCCACTAGATCACTCTCTTCTCTCCCCGGACCCCACGCCGGTCTCCCCTCAGCTATTACTCATACATGTAGGTGTACCTGAGGCCAGCCCTGTAGCAGTGACAGCTCCCATGAGCTTAAAGGTCAACTCACCGGCTCAGCCATGTTCCAGCCTGCCTGCTATCAGTATGGTCCCCCCTCCCGGTGTCAACTAAAGCCTGTACTAAATACATGCCCCATCATCCTTCTCAACACATTAGTCTTAACACAATATGCACGATTAGGAATATATAAACACCAATTTATCACAATATATAATAATATAATATAATTAATATGATATAATATGATATGACATATAAACATGCATATATAGTAGATACTAAATAAAAATCATTGTGAAAACAAATATAAAATGAAAACATAAATATGTAAAATCTACCGCATATATATATATATATATATATATATATATATATATATATTTCATACGTACAGCAGTAAGATTAACCTACAAGCTAAACATGTTATTATTATCAATTCATAACAAGAACTATTGCGCGCGAAAGCTTTCTAATAAAGTCAATTTGTCTATCAATAAGGGACTGTTCGATTGTATCGAGACAAATCAACCCATTAGCTCCAACGTGAAAGAAATATAGGCTCATTGGATAAGGCGAATATTTGTTTTGCTATAAAAGACGTACGGTAACTAGTATTGCATAACATGAAACGTGTCTGTTTCACATTTGAAAGAATGTTAAAGGTTATAAAACTTGTAGTCTTTTTTATTAAATTTAATAATGATTTTATTGTACCTCAAATCCGGCGTAGAACTTTTGACTGTAATAAAATGCCGTAGAAGAGTGTGTGTTGTGGGCGCGAATGGCACATCTCACCTACAATTAACAAAATAAATAAATAAATATTTCCCACAAATATTTTGTGTAAGCATACAAATTACGCATGAGCAGAAAGGGAAACAGAATGTGCTGAACTCTCATGTTACCATATTTTGTAAAATAAATTATACTAATGGATGAGAAAAAAAATAAGTCTATAGTAAAGTGATTATTCAACAAGATCATACCATTGAAATACGCATTGCGATCTATTTACCAGTTAGACACCCATCATGAGCCTCATTTGAACACATAGTGTAAATTGTAGCATTTATGAGGTTCTTATTATAAAAATGCAACCTCAAGAAAACGTGAAAAAGTATTTTTTCACCAAATTTAAATCTTTATCAATATGGTGTTATGTCAGCAATCTACCGTTAAAGCATATGTACCTTTTTCAAAATAGGTAACTATCAATTTTATTTGAGTTGTAAAGCTACGAGGAAACCTAACATTCTTTAAAAAAACTTTAAAACGTTATTACATGCATTCCTATGTTTTGGCCAGTTACATTCCATTCCCTTTCGATTAACCTCCCATCAGTAAGAAGTGAAGAATATGACAAGTTCAACTTGCGATTCACTTCTGTGCCCTCAACTTCCCACACAACGTCGAATTGCAGACTTCGATACATCGATGATACACCTGCACATGTAAATTTTAAGTGTCGTTGGCCTGGGTTGTTTGTAAGACCAGGCGAAACTCGTGGTGCTACTCTGAAGCTAAGGTGGCTTGCTGAAAAAAATGTAAGGTTTTTTTCTTCGGTAATCGAGAAAATGAGCAGATAATATCTTTTTCATTTACAAGTCAGACTTTGATTAACTTGAAATGAACACGACATTTGATTAAATTAAAACAAGTATTCTTGGTCAAAAATCATTTGTTTAACAAATAATATCATATATTCATCTTCCAAAACACTCAATATCATGACTTACATGAGCAAGGAGCATAGCCTGTTAGGGACGATTCTGATCCTGTGCACCTCCGTGAACCACCTGATTATTTTGGTTAAAAAATTATGGAATTACATGTGTTGTGAAAATAACAAAACTGACAATATATACACTATGAAGTATAGCTTAAAAAACCAGAATACAATGACAATATATATCAGACAGTATATAGGAACTGTAGTGCAAAGAAAACTGTTTTATTATTGCATTATTGCAAATTATGTGGAGCAGTTTTAATTTGCAACCTTTAATATGATTTGTCCAAAAAGTTAAACCTCTGTTATTTAAAGCACATTTGACATGAAATTAAGATCAGATTCGCGTTTTGATACAATATATGTGCAACTTATTATAATGTATTTACTTACGGAAACAGTACCGCCCTGTGCTTGCCTTCATTGGATGTAGGTTATACACGTAAAAGCCGTCACATCTCTTTACTTGAATGGTTGAAGACGATCCACAGCACCCAACGAATGTATGCTTGCATGCCTGTACAGTTTCGATTTTACCTTTACTAGGCAATGTTCCTGAAATTAACCAAGCAACTGTGTTCAAAAGAAATATAAACGTACATGTATGTAACTCACTTTCATCAAATCAAATGAAAAAAAAAAATATAAAAAAAACATACATAAAAAAATATTATTTTTCATGTCAAAGTAAAAAGATAATTTCAGTTAAGGTACAATTGTGTTTTGTTCATTCATACAAACCATTTATCCACACTGGAAAAATTGTGCCGCAATCTGTCTGATTTGGACATGTTGTCATTAGGTCCCCATCCGATCTGTGAACATTTCGGTACCAGCCTGTCGTAAGGAAAGCGTCCGATAACTCGCTTTCTCCATTCTTCAGTGTGTATGACGTTAAACGTGTTGAATCATTTAGTGATATATATGAGAAGCATGGATCAGTCGCTCCAGATACACCTGTCAGGAAATATTAAATGTGTCATGAGGAGCTAAACAAAACTACATCAATGAAATAGTATATATTACAAAAACATCAGATAAATCAAACTATTGTAATGAAGAGGGTGGTTTTGATGTGCGTCCTTATTGTTTAAAGTCATAGTAATAGCGCCAAACTGTTATGAATAATTTCTAACCCAAAATTTGATATGCACATAAGGGGTGAAATACACCGGGTGGGAAGCCCGAAGACTTCCGACGGTTTAATTTTTTATATAATTTTAGCAGATTATTTTTCATGTTTTAACTTGCTTTGAAGTCGTAGAAGTTCTTTTTTTTTATCAACTTTCCGATTCGATTTTGTCTTTCTGTGTAAATAATGTAAAAAATATATATCACAATTTCTATTTTTTCTTTTATGTAATGTTATTTCAATATTTATCGGCTATGCTTGTCCAGCAGACTGGAACATCCACATGTCCACAGGTACTCGGAAATCCTATCTGATAAATATACCTAGGTCATTATTGAGACGTCATAAATCATTTATGCAGCAATTGTGACGTCATTGGAATGGTTTTTTTTATTTCTTCGTTCAAACCATTGCATGTGTATATACATCTCATACTGGATAAAGACCATATTAACCTTTGTAGAAATTGACCGATAAGTAAGTTCAAATAAATACCTCTTTATCAATGCACAAGAATAGATTTCTAACTACAGTTTGATATGAAAAGAACAAGGAAAAGAAACAAATGCAAAACAATGAATATATAAACGTTGTAAATGTGTATTTCCGTTATATTTGATCCCCATACCCAATGTCCATCCGGCTTTTTATGCTAGTACTTCGTACCTAGTAAGTCAAGTAATGGATATTTCGGAGGTACGATAGTTAAGTGGTAGGACGCCAGGCTTTCGACCGAAGGATTGCGGGTTCGAGTCCTGTCACGGCACTTTGTTGTACATTTGAACAAGATACTTTACACCGCTTGTTCCATTCTGCGCAGCTGTAAATAAGCACATTGTTGGTCAGTGCTAGACATTGGCAGCACCGGCCAAGGGAGCTGAGAGAAAGCTATTGTCTAGTTGCAAAGGCCATATAACCACGAATAATTATATGTGAACCGCGTTGAGATGACCTACAAACTAGGTTATGATAAAGTGGTAGATAAGAACCTTGAATTTTTATTATCATTGTTATTAATAAATTCAGTCACATTTATTTGTTTGCCGCTGATAATGATTTGGGAGAACTGGGGGTTCTAGGGCGATTTATGATAGGAACATGTACATGTATATACCGTTCGCACTGTTATGATGTACTATGTTCATTTAAGATATAACCGGTCATGACCATTTATCGAGCCGTAACGACCACATGCTTTGTACATATTGCATATGATTAGATAGTCTAGTGTAGTATCGCTAAACTATTGAAAGCGTTGCCGATTAAGTTTGGAGCTTGCGGGCATATGGATATGCAGGTGACGCAATGAAGCGCTATCGGTTCAAAGTTTTCCCGCATCGGCCCTACTCGTCAGAATTTTCTCCGAGAACTACATTATTTTTCTAAATGTATCAAACTGTGAAAAGTAGAGCTGTGTGCACGCTTTTTGCGGTCCGAATGTGACCTCCAGACAGCAGTTAAGATGTGGTGGTATGAAATATCACCAAGTTTATATCAGAATTGTCTTTTAGTTCATCGTCCTCAGAGTGATTACGTGGAGAAAAATGTGAAGGTTTATTGCAAATTAGTTTAGGGCCATTGTGGTCATTTACTTTTACACATGTTATTGAATGACATAAAGGAAATAAGGCACATGTTCCTACAACTTACTAGGCCTCTCTCTTTTATCACTTTACATTATACAAATCTATAATTCTGACAAAATCATCATAGGTGTCATAACATCATCTTCGATTGACAGGATACAACAGGTTACATTGATATGCTAAATATAAATAAATACATTAGTTCAATCACCGTATAAATATAAAGTATAAACTACAATCACTTTAGCAGGTCCACATTTATCAACAAGTGTTTATAAAGCACCGTCATTAAAAGCAAGGAATACCTAATTAGCATCGGCTTAGATAAATAAACATTCAATACTTTCTAATCCGCCAGTCAATATTTCCAATAAAAAAGTTTCTTATAAAGATATCAGTGTCACATTCAAATGTGAAATTAACTCATGCAAGCACAATATCGAAGTTTCGAAGTAGTCTGCAAGCAAAGTTAATATATAGTATGCGAGAAACTGTTGTCAAGATATTTGCTGATAGTGACTATAAGTGTTTAACAAAGCACACTCGCACATCATGTCAAAATGACCAAAACATTAACTTACCGTTATAGCCGACGGTGATAGTTACAAACAATAGCAATATTTGTTGCATCATTTCGCATCCTCAAGATAACATCTAACAGGTCTCTGCGAGGACAACAGTTACCGGGTATGTTTTATATCATTATAAGCACCACGTGATATGGTCAATCATGCCCTTATCGCTTAGGAACAAAACTAGCTGTCACGCTAAACACGATGTTCGCATATATACAAATGATATAAACTGCACATGTTACCTGCGAGCTGAATATCAAAGATAAGAAATAAACATACAGTTGAAAGTGGTACAACACTTATATACATGTAACATTGTAAAAAGAATCGAAACTATTTGAATCTTCTAAGCAAAGTTTGCATTTTTTTCTTGATTATTGTTTCATTTGATATTGAAACAAAATAAAATTGAACTGCATGCCCAAAATAATAACAAAATTACATTATAAAGATAAAATCTACATTATTATAGATATGAGTAGTCCTTTTTTTCGAAGATATGTTACATTTTGCATTGCTTTTTAGACTTTAATAATGCAGTTATTCAAGCAAAATTATCATGACGACATTGAAGAATCACTTTATTTTACCTTAATGTATAAGGCATCAACATGTCTTTATACATACGTATATAACGATATTGGGTACCTCCGTAGAACAAATTCAACTTTTGGAGAGTAATATAAATATTATGTTGTTAATTCATTTAAGAAAAAAAATAAAAATAAAAAAAATAATATGATACCAATGAAATAAAATATCCTATATGATAATATGGATATGACATCACCGGGTATAGGATTTGTGAACAATATTCTAGACTGACAGTATATGCATGGACGTATTATAAGTAATAGATTAATGAATCGCAAAAGCAATTATCTAATGAGTTCGTTGAAACGTGATTATATTGTAGGAGCGTCTAATCTTAAATACACGTCAACCTACAGGCATATCATATGTCCTTGTTATAAATGAGCACCAATCAAGATAAGTGAAACATTTCTTTTGCGTGAATACAAAGTTATGTTTTGATTTACACGATTGTATCTAAATTTGTATAAAGATGAGGTTTTAGAAATATTCAATACTAAGTATTTTTATAATGTTGTTTCCAGTTTTTATCTGCATTTTTGTATTGTAATGTCAATATATCAAACATATCCTGGCTTCCATTTTTGTACGTAGAGGTATAATACACTGGAAGTTGATTTCTTCCTTGTTGATAAGAGCTGTCGATTATAAACTACATATTTGCATTGCTACGCATGCTATTTTAAATGACTCATTTTTAAGTTCAAATTCGTGTATAACCTGACGCGAATAAAGAAAAATGATGGAGCTAAAAATAATAATTGCATAATAGACTTAATAATATATATACAAAGCCGATAATTGATATATCTTTAGATTTCAAGTCGCTACATAACAATCACTGTACGAATCGTTGTCTGGGATTTCAAGCAATCACAGTGTGATTTATTTTGACTTATTTTGAAAGGAGGAATGCAATCGGGCGTATTTACAGCAATTTATTGATATGATAAATGTGGGTAGCACATATATATCATTTTGATGATACATTTTCAGAAATAATCTTCTGTAGGTTTTTGGGAAAATAGACATCCGACTAATGTCACATCATGTTTGTTAAAAAAACAAGATCGCCAATGCTCCAGTTGTCGATGGGCCGTAAAACAAAAACTAGCAAACCGACTAATGCGGGGTCCCTGTGGATTCGGGGATTTGTTTATACTTAGGGGACTTTTAGACAACCCAGATGTTTCTGTTTCCCCTTTGCAACGGTTTTTCTTTTCGTTTTTTTTCAGTTATCTCTCTCTCTCTCTCTAACATTGTGATGTGAATGCACAAGAAAAGTTAATACTTAACATATACAGAAGCCTTGATCCCTCGCCACAGTTTTAGTGACTTTACTGAATTAAAAGACATTTTTTGTACGGAAATTGTATGAGTTCAAACAGCAATATTTAGTTGGGGGAATTGTCAGCCTTTAAATTACTGGTTCAAAGTTATGCTAATAATGTCTGAATTAGACGTAAATATAACACGTAAACTATTTTTTAGAAACACCCAGTGTTAGTTCTTAATTTCGATAGAAATAATTTCCATTTGTAATCCATTACACACTTGTTTTCCTAATGGCACTCAAAATACTGAGAACGCCTACATAAATTGTATGTACAAGGTGAAATACAACATTGTACTGCTATAACATATATGAACTGGTACATATGTTATTGACAAAACGATGCTATTTACTAAAGTGTCAATATTATTTTGGAATAACTTAGCTCTTTTTATTCAAAGTTAAAGCACCGCTGGAATGGAGAGCGTGCTAGATTATACATATAATCATCATGTTTTGAAAAAAAAACTAGGTTGACGTGCAAATTCGGTTGTTGATCTGTTTTGTCAAGGAAAGGACCACATGCGATCATCTTATCAAACAATGTTTACAGTTGTGGAATCTTACACCGCACACCTCACCCTCCCCCGCCCACCACCCCTCACCCCGAAAAATCACATATACAAACGTATCAAGTATAACTTATAAACGCTAATAATTACTTCAGATATAAAAAAATAAGCAATTAATGAGAAAAAAATCGAATGACGATGACAATGAAAGTCCAAATCTTCCTCACAATAAAACCTTGCCGTCAATTACTTATGGCTATTTCACTGGAGGTTACATAGTGTGTATGCAGTAAGTGCCACAATTGTTTCACATCATCAAGTCATTTTTTTTTTATCTAATTCTAATTTATTCTGCAAACCCGAAGATTTTCTGACAATTTTTTCAATATTCATATAATTTGTTTCTTTTAACTAACTGTATAAGCATTGGTCAAATTAAGTTTGTACGGCAAAATTTAACATGGTATTTTTCGGATTAACAACTAAAGTAAATCTCATGCAGAGGTCAACAATTGATATCCCAATAAAATGGATGGATTTAATTATATCAATATAACTACTAGTAGTACCCAATAGTTATGTAGCTGTATGCAAAATGTTCGCGGTGTTGATGTTCATATGTCTGTAATGATTTTCATAACTAATGTCATCAGTTATTTAAAAGGTGGCAAGTCTGCGTGTAATGTTCTTGTTGTGACTATTAAAAATGATGTTTAAACTTTCCCATTGACAATTATCCGAAGATCAATATTTCCTATATATCTATAATCTCTATTATTATCTAAAATGCACAATCGTGCGTGGATATTCTCTCGCTGATATGCTAATAAAAAAAAAAATTCATTGCCACAATACTTACTTTTTTCATTTACACTTCATTATATAAATTATCATGTTGAATATCGTAATGTTGTTGAATGTTGAAATTGATTTAAGTATAACAAATGCAAAGAAGTCAATTATGACATTTTTCATTAAATGATATTAATCTTACGTTAACGCAAACACTGAGCAACATACACTATTATTTTTTCAAATAGTTCAATCTCATCTATTCCTTTGACATTGATACGAAAACAACATCAATAGTTCATTTGGTCTGTAAAACGGGAATACAATAATACGGAATAATGTAAAAATTAAGGATCTTGTGAAGACTTTGAATCGGTTCATATGTTTATGCCGAAGTATATATACCTGTGCATGGCACAAATTAAAACGTATTTACATATATTCAATATCGTACTCGCCAATTTTTCACATAGCAATTTGATTCAGCTAAAACTGACAACAGAATTATGGTATTAACATGGTTTGAAATAAAGGCGGTGCTTATTGTACTAAAAAAAACACCGAAACAGTGTTTATGGATTAAACGTTATAGACAATCGATATCTGGTTTATGTTGACGGTGTATATAATTTTGAAGCAGGAAGAAAACGAAGGGGAATTAAATCAGGCACATTGCCAGGCCGTATCAGTGTATATATCATCGCAGGTAGCAAGTGGGGATCACTGTTGATCAGAAATAATTCCTCCTCTGTGAAGGTTTATCCATATCAATATTTACAAAAGAAGAACACGTCGAATCAATTGCTTAAACAAACATGTGTAGAACGAAAGATTATCCGATGTTTGTAATGTTTTTTACCATTTGTCTACTTCCTTGTTGCACTTCTCAGTATATTGTTTAAGGTAACACTATCCTAAAGAACGGTTTGAATTGAGTATTTGAGCAATCATTCATATCGTTAATACGTGTACTACAAAGGCGACTAGGTACAGACATTTCTCCCATAACCACTATAGCGTCACTCCTTAATAACTGAATAATCCCGCTGGGGGTTTGTTAACATGTCTGGCTATTCACTAATGGGTAACACACTGTACGTTATTTCATTGATCAATATTCGAATTGTGACGCCAATTAACAAGGTTTTGCGACGACACCTTTTACTGTGATGTCATAGTTTATGGCGATTGTTTCCCTGATCGGAAACAGAAATATTTTGTTCCGAAGAAAAAGCTAAATTTTGTGGGAAAAAAAGCTCCCCAAACTCGTTATGGACAATTCTCATGTTTAGTTAAACACGTAAACCTCATAATTTTATATAATTTGAAAATTAACTATCTCGAGTTAAATAACTATGATAACAATCACTCTCCTTAGGCGAACCTCTATTGTTCTCGGTTTCAAATTTTGTATTAAACCATGTTAAAAACATAGTATAACTTTAAACAAAGGTTACATGTATTATATCAAGAATTGTATAGATCGCTAATAATTTTGATATAGTTTGATTTTCAGGATAAATGTATACTTAGTGTGTTGCTGGTGTGTTATATACCTTTTTTTCTATATCAGGGGAAAAGACACCAGTACTATGCATTTACGTTTATATTGTTTCATCATTGTTTTATGTACCTGCAGTGTAACTTTTTCATAAAAAACAAATCTCCTTGTATATTTTAACAAATAACAGACATATTATGAAACGCTACATCATGAAGTTTCGGATATCAGGGATAATTGTTGATATTTGCATGGTATTACATTCTTCTTAAAAGAAAAATGATTAGACGTTAATAAAGACACTTCAGATATATAGTTCTATTTTTAAAATCCATGAATTATTTGTTAATTGAATAGATGCATTCTGTTAGTTTTACTATCAAACTTAACCTATCAACAATGCTACATTTCATAATTATTGACAAATATGGGTCTTTTATTTATTTAGTGATACTTCTACTATTCTATATTTTTGTTTGGCAGACAAAAAAAAAAGATAGAGGATATCAGAAGAACTCGGTGGTAGCCAATAGAAAGAGAACCTAGTAGCAACACTAAATAGCTACCTACACTTAGGTTTCTGTACTTACACTTAAGCGGCTTTATTCTACTAGATTTTTAGTTTGAAATGGTATACAGTAATATCCCGCTTACTCGAACTCGTGGGGCCCAGATCAGTAGTTCGAGGAATACATGGTATTTATCCAGTCCGAGGTTCGGCCGACATTGTCATTTTTTATCAGACGGGACGACAGACAGTTCAAACATTACATATATCGCGGACAGTAGATGATGGATGTTAAACAGAATTTCATATAAAACCGCTGAACAATGAAAAAATATAGCCATCGGTATTAAGAAATACAATAATTTAAAAAGGCAACACATCTCGTTTTGGCAGTCCACCATACTGTATCTGGTCACGGTCGGGACCAAGCGAACTATTCGACGAATAAGGGGTATTCAGGTGATGCGAGTTCGAATAAGTGGGTTGTCACCGTACTAAGAAATTCAAGTGGTCAAAATTGGTAAAGTTTATTATTTTCTGAATGTCAGAATAATTAACAGACGGGGGCTTGTCTAATACAAAATGTTTGCTATACTTTCTATCATTTTATTATACGGTAGACAATTTGTGTTTTGCTGTATCAAGGAGTTATGATAAAATGTTTCATTTTCTAAAGGGGCGTAATGGATATGCTTAGCGTTTTGAACATATCGTGGCTTGAATATTTACATACAACTTACCTTGGTAATTTATTACTTCCTGGTTGATAAGGACGGTCACATGCAAGTTACATGCTAGCGTTGCTAAAACATATTAATATATACAAGTATAGGAGAGCACAACGTTTTTAGATTGACGACCCTCAAGAATCATGTTATAAGATGGTGGCAGTATATGTTTTCCTTATTATCTTCCTGGATCTGGCTGCTGTTCATTCAGCTGAAGCAGGTATTTCTGCTTATTTGTATGCCAACGCAAAATAATGATCTCGGTATAATAAATATTTTCTCACTTTGAGCAGAATTGTAAATTTATGTAAACAATCGGACGATATGTAAAGGAATCTTACCCTTATTTTTCTTTAACACATAGAACTACCAACAGATATTTTTTATAACTTTAATTTAGATCCATGTCTTGCACACAAACTCCTCGGGAAAATGGATATACGAGGTGCCATGTGTTCAATTTCGGGAAAAGTCTACTGTGACCGACTCATAGACGGCGGATGGTACAAAGCCGTCTATAAAGGGCTTCCATTGGATATGCCGACATCCTGTGTTAACCCTGCTTCATGTGGAACAGGCTTTCCAATATGGCTGAATGGTATGGAAACTGAATACTTGACAATTTTCGCCCAATCAAACTTTCGCTCTACGCCAGTAAAATCAATATTAGCCCAGTGTTTCTGTCGCCGTTCATATCTAATTAGTACGTCGAATATGTTGTTAACTTAATTTTTTTTAGTAATGATACATTTGTTTTATTATGGTGATCTTAAAGGGGCTAAGGTTAAACTGCGGCTAAAATTTACCTAATAACTGTATTCAAAATACCGGTACTTTTCATATTTATGAATGCTCTGTAGCAGCAGTCTGGCCAAATGCAATGTTAGTTTTAATAAATATAAAATATTGCTTTGACATTTCGTTCAAATTGCACGGGTCAATCACATCATTGTTTTATAATATAAAATAGTAGTATATGTACATACAAAAGATAATACTTTTCGTACAAAAAAGACACTCCCTTATTTTCGCAGCATTGAAAGTTGGTTTACGTTTCTTTGCGTAGGTAATCTACCAACGGTAACCGAGGGCGTTGTACAGAGACAGGCCTGTGTACGCGGTCTGGTTGGCGGGGACTGTTGTATCAGACAGTATAATATAAGCGTGAAGAACTGCGGAGTATACAACGTCTACAACCTTCCTTACACAGTAGCTTGTGATGAGGCTTACTGCTTCGGTAAGTTAAAATTGTATATGTACCGTTAAAATGGGTACTTAGACAATTCTTATAATTTTAGTGCTTTGTGCGCTAAAAAAAGCGCACTAAATTATGATTTCGCAGATCACCAATTTTCTTATTTTTATTACATTAATCTTGAGTGCGCCGTTTTTTCAATTTGCTTATCTGTTAATATTTGATAATGCACTAACATTCAAAACCGCTAAATTTAGTGCTTTTACCGTTCATGGATTTTTGTTATAAATTAGATAAATGCATATATTACTTAAAATGTCACAATTATATATAAATATAATTGTGAATGCATATGAGTATAGTTCTAGAAATCGTATACATTGTAATATCTAGTACTTGTATATACCTGGCTAATATTATCATTTTCTGTCTAGTTTTAAACTGTGTGTTATTATATGAAGTTTGAAAAAGTACGCAACTCACAAAAATACTGGATTGAAGTACCACGAGTATCTACACGGTGAATCCGTACTTGTGTTTTTTTAAATCATTGAAGTGTAGTCATTTATTTTGTAGGTGATCATGACTGTGGTATTTCAGTGACCAAGTCACCGTCATCAGTTCTGATGTCAAGTACGATCACGGCAACGTCTTTTCCTACCAGTCAAGAAAGTGTCCAAGGTAAATATGATATATGTTTATATCATAACACTCGTTTTTTTTATTGAAATGCATGCGTATTTTATATTAATTACATTCTGTATGTTTGGACCCATTGACTAAAATAACATTCATTTGTTTTGCATAACACTGGTGATCTCATCACTGCGTATTGATCCACTATAATGACGTAGTATAGGGCGTACTTGATTCACGTTCGCCGGGGGGGAAAAACTGTATTTTTTAGGCTTGCATCGAAAAATGAATAGCACTTAAAAATATGACTATAAGGAATGGAACAACCCGATTCATAGAATATGTCCAGAAAGCCAATGTTGTTATGACCTCATGACTGTTTGAAAAGTGTTGATCACAATTCATTTGTATTGTTTTGTGTTGTATTGTTTATTAGCTTTAACCCTTGCGACTCATAGGAATAGTATTACAACATTATACCACGATACCAATGAAATAGAATAATCCTGTAGAACAATATGGATATGACATTACCGGGTATAGGATTTGTGAACAATATTCTAGACTGACAGTATCTACATGGACGTATTATCCTGTACAGGTCATACATAACTATGAATAGTGTTTGCATATTTCCCGAATCCTACTCAGCCCAGTAGTACTGGTGTAGCTATAATGTAAGTGTATTGTCGCGTTACTTGGCGGTTGCATGCTACAAGAGTGGTATGCAATGTTATCAATGTTATAATACATTTTTGAATTATTATACTGAATTAGAGATACAAAATAAAATGGTCAAAACTTATATATGTGGCATATAGAAAACACATTAAAAATAACAAAATGTCACTGTATCCAAAATACTTAACGCATAGGTTTAGTATATCTTTGATCGTATTATCAAATACGTACGCCTCGATAGCTTGTAAACAAACACGAGTGGTCACAGAACACACAGGTAGATAAACCCGGCTGACACGTTAACCACTCAAAATCAAGGACACACTAAGCTTCAATAATCACTGATAGGAATAGTAACAACGCCGGTTCGGAGCAATACATTATTATTGAGAATTGTTAAAAAACGTTATCTCATGTTTAAGGATAGTGTAATGCTGATAGCCATATGATTAATGTATATATTGCAATCCATTACATTCGATAAATAAGTTTTCAATTTTACTTGCATTTCCATTTTTAATTTTTGTTTTCAATATAACCGTAGTTGATCTGCGCCAGTATGCTACTGTTGGCCAGGTAGCTTTTTTGGTAAGAGCAATAGTTTGAATATTTGGGATTCAAGGGATCAAATCCTGGTTTACCCTTATGCGGAAACTGGTCTGATCATTTTTTTCCATTTGTATTATTCTTTTTCGTTAAAAAAGTTCCGGAAGGTATGGATTTCATTTTTAAAATATCTACCAAGTTGATAGTCGTGCACAATAAAAACAGTTCCAATGCATTGTTACATTTATTTATCGAAATACTGTCCTACCATCTGTTTATCCTATTGAGTGCCACATTTTGGTCACCGTATATAGATATCCATTATCGATTATAAAAATAATTGAAACATTTGTTACCTCAGGGAATGTCGCGCCCTGGAGTCCACATTGCAAAAACAGAGCAGACATAGCAGCGATCGTGGCGGGGTGTCTTTGTTCTGCCGCTGTTGGCAGCTTGATCACTTTCCTAGTGTTGTACAGGTGTGATGGAACACGCAGGTAACATATGTAATAAACGATCTTGTGAAAGTAAAAGAAGAATTTCAACTAATAGCAAAAACAAAAAAGTTTATTAGTTTGTTGATTTGTTTGTTGTTGTTGTTGTCCTGAACAAATAAACAACATTAAACAAAAACTAAGGCAAATCTTCTATTGTTTCAGCCTTTACGTCTAATTTGCTGTTTATTTTGTATACTTACAGGGGGAAAGTCTTCTTAAACAACCCCGAGATCAAGTCAGGAGATCCATTTTGCTACAGTGTCTTCAAAAGTAAAGATGAAAGTAAAGCTGATATTACAGAATTTACAGTAGAAGACTGTATCTCCTGTACATTGCAAACAATATCCCACAAATAATTGACCAGACACTATCAGTGACTTATATTACTTGAGTTAGGGCTGCAACAATACATTAAGCGATGATATGTCGCGATATTTTGAATATAGTACGATACACAATATATTTAGGATATGTTACGTATTTTGTCGGTACTGAGTTTTTGTCTACTCATATCAGTTCCAACATGCCGAAGGACATTTCCAGCTCGGCATGTACGTCAAGTCATGTCCGTTTTGGACCAAGTCTATTTCCACTTATAATATTTCAATTTAAGATTCGCAACACCATTTTTCTCTTTTCTTCTACTGTTACAATATTTATCGGGAAACATGTACATATCGTATCGTGACCACAGTATCGTGATACTTACCGTATCGTGACCACAGTATCGTGATAGTAATGTATCGTTATGTCAATGCATTGTTGCAGTCCTAAGTCTTGCACACTATCAAATCACTCATTTGTGCGGGGTTTTTAATATCGTTTAATAAGTGGATTGTTACGGAGGTTTTCTTCTTATGAGTGGATACTTGTAATCCACAGATCTGTGTAACCACAAAATGATGTTTAGGTGGGGACCACGATATTTGGGTATAAAGTATAAAGAATTACGCTCAACGTGTTTAGGATCAAAGTAAGATACTTAGAGGTGACTGAAACTTTGATGTGATAATAGATTCAGTATCAGTAATCAGTATAAGGGCACATGTATAACTGATTAAACTGCATCATAAGCAATTTCGTGTCTATAAGACTCATCTGTGAAAGAAATGCATCTTCAATCATCATCGATATCCAGGGGTCATGTTCACTTTCGCTCTCTGCATCCCTGGAATATATAATGGCAAAACTGAAAACACAACAACTTCGACCTTGTTCATGAAACCGTTATCATGCTCAAACCCATTTCTGTGCTCGAGCCCAATTTCAAAATCTTGTAATAAATTGATAAAAATCACATATTTCAATGATAATGAAGAATTTTGAAGAGACATTTAGCTGAGTGCTGTTTTCAATGTTTAAACTTCACGTTTTGACAGTGTTAATGATTAAATCCAGTTACAAGAAAGTTGGTTTGAGCACAGAATCCATGCTTGAGCATGGGTACAGTTTTATCAATACGAGCCCAGCTGTTTGATTGTTCTAAGGTAAAGCAAAAAATCTGACCAATCGCTAGGCTGGTACCTGTCCTTTGAAGAGCACAAAGAAGCGACACACGACTTCAAAGCCTGTCAATTTTTACTGTCACTTGACCGCGAGATTCTTTTGATGTACATCAACGAATCGAATTATTCTTCTTGTCTCATCAACAAGGTGGTGCACACGGAGCCTTCAATATTGCTGTGACATATTCCAGGAGTGCTTAGAACGTAAGAGAGCGTTAACCTGGAGTATCGAGGATTTAATTGAATGTGTTCGGACAAAAGCGTTAGCTATATTTCCTGGTCCTTTTGTTCAGATATACCCTAATTTTACAAACGTCTGTGTAAACTCGGATAATTTTACATCTAATATGCCTTTGACCAGCTAAAACATCTTGAGCGAATCTGTTTTAAAAAAAAGAACAAATATAGTGTGACAGTTCCAATAGGCTAATATTAATTAATAGTGCAGACAAATGATAAATATCCCTACCTGTTTTTTTTAGTTTTTGATACTTATTTTAATTTCGTGTCCTTACCTAAATGATTTGAACAGAGTCAGGTTTTAACCAATACATTTAATTTTAAGCTAAACTTCTCACAAAACGTTTTCATTAACTATAATCAGTATTCAATGAATGTGTGTTTGATGAAAAATTAAATGAATAATTATTATGCATATGCATTGATTATCTTCTATTTTGCATAAGTACACTGTAGCTTGCATCTACTGAATGTTGGATTCGGTAAGATATTTGTAATTTTATTTGAAGAATAAAATCTTTTTTTACAAATACAATGGAATTGTCCTTATCTATGACAAATTAACTTACATTATTTTGATGTTTTTGATATTTTGAGTTATAATAGTTACCTGTCGGTGAAATATGTGTGAATTTTCGATATAAAAAGATTCCGGTCTCAATATGAACCTAATTAGTATCTCTGCACTTCTGAAATGTCTAATGGCAAAATCGAAGGAAGCAGTGAGCCATTTGATGACATTTATGTAGAAATACCTGATAAAGCATTGCAATCTATTTATTAAAAATCAAACAGTTCCAAGAACTATTTATGACACACTTTTAAAATCGTAAGGGATGTTGACCTGTCAAACGCGAAATATCTAGGGTTCTTGATAATTTACCTTAAATTTCTCAAATACAGACGTTTGATATTTTTTTCTGTATCGTTAATAAATATGAAAAATATGTTTTGAAACTATTAATTTGCACTTCAGACATCACATTGAACTGATTAAATAAGCAAAAAGCGTGTTTGTCTGCGATTGGAAATCCGGAAATGTGAGGAATAGTCAGCCAGATAAAGGGACATAACTCCTATTATCTTTAAGATATATACTGCAGTACATATTCGTTACAACTGCATTCTTATCGAATACAGACATGGCTAATCGGCAAATGAAAGCATTTATGCTCTTTTAATACATTTTAGATGATTGTTTCAGATTGGAAAGCGTACAGTTGCATACAGATCAGTGGCGTAGCAAATTACTTTTCGGAGTTGCGCATTATCTTTTCCTTAACATTGTAGCTTCTCCATTATATAGATGTTATGTTAATTCGTTTTAAAAGTATTACTCCCTTTTTAGGGAGTTAATTCATACTCCCATTCAGTGAAGTTTCAATGCAAAGAAAGACAGACTAACTAAGTAAAATATAAATATTGTAGTCTTACACGAAATGATGCTTGTTATATATTAAGGTTTCTACGTTAAAGAAACACTAGCAAGGAGATGGCATTCACAGGATTTTCCGGTTGCCAAGTCCCTGTTTTTCCTGCGATTTGAACAAACAAATATTCAAAAAAGGAATTTAAAATAAGGATGCCTTCATTAAGTACCGTTACTATAACATTGGTTCTGACTGTAGTAATAATAATTAATTCATCGAGGCCCAGCTAACAGTAGATTGTGGATTTTGTGTCAGACTACATTAAAAACACCAAACACCAAAAACCTGAAATTACAGACCCGTACACGTTTTCTGTTCCACCTTGGACGCAAACGATACGGAAGTGCTACGCAAACGGTACGGATGGTACGGAAATGGTACGCAAGTGCTACGCAAACGGTACGGAAATGGTACGCAAGTGCTACGCAAACGGTACGGAAGTGTTACATATATATACAAGTCATACAGTCAATACAATTAGCATATACATTAATCAATATTGAGGAATTCACAAGAGCTGCCTTATCAGGCGTTAACTACTAGTCATATGCCACCTGGTTAATATCTCCCTTTTTGTGTATACCTGCATGTGAGCTGGAGATGTAATGTGTAACATTTACTTGATTGAGCACATATATTGTTTTTGCTTACCTTAATTAGTTAGTTTAAACATATTTTATTGTACAAATATACAAATGGATCGGACAACAAGTTATTACAACTTAATAGAGTCCTCTCTTCAATACATATTGTAAAAAAAGGTTTATATGTTTTAGCGGAAAGGGAAAAGATAGGTTGAGGAAGGAAGGAACTGTGGGGTGGGAGGGGGTGGGAGTGATGGAGGGGAGGGGTGTTACCTAGAAAATTAAACTTGAAAACTGAGAAATTGATCCGCATTTGAATCAATTTTAAATTATACAGATTTCATGACATGCAACCTGGTAGAGTACTTTCAAAGCGAACAGAATAAATGTAACAAATAAATCAGTCAAAATAATGAAATACAATTTCATAAACAAAAATAACAACTTAAATAAGAATAGAAAATTAATTATTACTATCAAAACCTATTGCTGGATTTGATGTAATGATGCACATGTCTGAAGATACTTATGTTGTTTTCTACCGAAGGTTGACTATTTCCAAACAAAAGTAGTTCTAAATTTAAATCAACATGCAGGGCATTTAAATTTAGGAGCAGGTTATGTCTTTCGTTGTTAAAAAGTAAGCACTCACAAAAAAAGTGAAAGTCATTTTCACAGGGATGGCCACAATAACAAACTGGACTATCGACCAAATTTACTCTAAAAAGATCATAGTTAAGTGGACTACACTGATGTCTTAGTTTAGTATGCAAAATGTTCAATTTACGTTTTCCGAAACCTAAGTAAATTGGTGGAGGAGATTGTACATTTGAAGTTAATGAGTTTTTAAAAGAATGTAATGAGGGCAATGATCGTACTGAAAGGTCCAATGAATTCCAACCGCGAAGAGTTGAAGGTATAAAAGATGAAATTGTTAGAGAAAGCCTGAGAGGACGAATTATATAATCATCATTGTTTCGCACAAATATGATTCCCCCCCCCCCCATTTTGCACTTTTATTAAAAATTACACCTAAATGTTTATGATGATCAGTAAAATTTAAAAATTCGCCATTAATTTCTAATTGTAAATCTTCATCAATTTCAACCAAGTTTGAAACAAAAATTACCTCAGTTTTTTTTCTGGATTGAATGTTACTAACCAAGTTTGGGACCATGCATTATGAGACACGAGATCTCTATTCATAACCGTGTGGATTTCTAGACATAAAGAGGATGATTCAGATAATAAGGAAATTGGCCTGTAGTTAGAGGGAGAATGCCTATCACCTTTTTTAAACAGTGGCATAACTTTGGCTGTTTTCCAAGAGATTGGGTAAACACCAGACGATAAAGACTTTTTAAAAATGATTTCAAGGGGAACACAAACTGTTTCTGATGTGTTTCTGAGCATATGGTGACTAATTTCATCCTCACCCGAGGCCTTACCAAGCTTCAATATCTGTAAAATATCACGTATTTCATTATTATTTACTCTAATGTACCCAAGACTCTTGTCAGTTTTTGGCTCGATAAGAGGAACCGCAGTATTTCTGTCGTCCACACGAGTTATATTACAAAAATAGTCATTTAATAAATTAGCTTTGTCTTCATCACTAGTAACCACATTGTCAGAAACAGGATCTACAAGAGTAGGTATAGATTGTGTAGTACCAGATGATTGCTTTAACCTGTTGATGAGTCTCCAATAAGCTTTTGGATCAGAGGACGAGTATTCTTCAATAATACCATGAACATTTTCATAAAATAATTTACGGGCATATTTTTTCATGTTATTGACCTTATTCCGTTGAGATTTGAATTTGTTGATGTCCGAAAGATGTTTGGTTGACCTCGCAATTTTATGTAACTTATCTCTAATTTTAATTGTTTTTCTTAATTTAGAGGTCATCCATGGTTTATCATTAGGTCTCATAGTTACATCTTTTGATGTAATACATATATTTGCAAATTTTAGGAACGTATCTGTAAAACGATTACAGGCAGTATCAACTGAATCACAATTTAAAAAAAATCATTCCAATTATAATCAGAAATAAGATAATTAAATCTGTGAAAATCTGCCCGCTTATACAGCCAAATTTTTCGCTTAAAAATAGGTTTACATTACATAATGTAGTGCTTGTTTATAATTAGGTTTACGTGCTCATCAATTAAGCGTTTCATTATTATGCTTAATATAGTCTAATTTTTTGTTTTTTGTAGTCTTATTGACATGTCGACAATGTTCCTACTCTATTTTATCCCAATTTTTTTTTTTTTATTTATTTATATTACTTTCTTCATAGAATCGCAGCATTATTGTGTGCGCTGTATGTTTTATAAATTGTATACTTTCAAAGTGCATTTCGCGCTTTCTGCGTGATTAGTTTTGCGGAAATTAGGATTGCGCTTTTCGAAATTTAATAATGTAGTTTGTTTATTGCAAATATTGTAGGTGTGCACCGCTTCATCAATGCGCTTATGTGTTAGAATTAGATAGTTCGCTTAAATTTCACCGCGCTTCACTAAGGACGTAAACAATATATAGTATGGTATATAGTTTGATATACATTTGATGCAACATCGGTTCACATGTAATGCTATTGATTAATACCTGTATCTTATCTTCAAAGTACCATTTTATTTTTGTTTTTAGGATCGAACACGAAATGCATCCTGGAAGACGAAGATGAAAAATACATACCAGGACAAGAATGATCTTCAAACGCGCTACGTCACAAGTTATCATAGAGAATTGATCCATGGTTTTTGAACATAATAGGATTGATTGTTTAAATATGTTGTTTACTTATTTCATATGTAGTAACTAAAGTATGTTATCCACTCGAGACGATGTCGTGGAGGAAATATAGCATTCCGTTGATTTGTATTTAACTTCAAATATTGGTCGCTTTTGCTCTCTGCACTCCTAGAATATGTCATAGCAGAATTGAAGGCAAGCGGCTAGTTATGTGGCATCATGTGAAAGAAGCTGACCAATCGCACACTGATACATGTCCCTTGAAGATTACAAAGGAGAAACCTCCGACTTCAAGGCCAGTCGCGAGATTCTTTTAGTGTACATGACAGGATCAAACTACAGTATTCATCTAGTCTTATTCTGATCTAATCTAAGGTGGCGCACACTGAGCCTTCGATTTTGCTATGACATATGCCATGGGTGCAGAGAGCGTAAGTGAGCGTAGCATCGAGGATGGTAATGCTGAAGACTCTTCTAAAGATTGATGTTCAGGTTTCCCCCTGAAAAAAATACACAACAAATAATATACTTCATCGGAAACGTTTGTTCCAACATGACTATAGCTTTGTAAATCATTTCTGTAAAGAAAACCATACATTGCAGAACTTTTATGAAAACGATAAAGAGATGGAAATAAAAAAAGTTTTTCTGTCTGTAAGACTGCAGCATAGTAAGACCAGGATTTGACATGGTCAACAATATTTGTCTTCAAAACGGAAAATAAATCTAAATGGGAGGGTATTGTACCTGATGTTCTTTAGTGTTTTGCCGGCAATAGGACCGGAACCCTTAAGAAATTGTTAGTTGAGAGAAAGTTGGAAGCTGAAGTGCTCAACACTCATTATACAACTACTTTAAATATGTTTTTCTTGAAGGATCACACGATATTTTGTGCGTAATTAATGTAGCTACTTCCTTTCTTTCGTCTTCACATATATTTCAAAATTCAACAAGTTGTTTGTTCATTTTTTCTCCTCAATTAACCATATCGTTTTGCAATAATTTTAACAAACCGAAAGATACATGGATACAGTTAAATGTAATGTGCGGTTGATTTAAAGTTGATGGTTAATTTCTAGCGATGACTCCTTGAATCTAAGACATTAAAATAATTAAAGGATTAAAGAAAACTTCCTTTAAAAACGCAAAGCATTTTTGTTCAACATCGCGAGCGTTCATCCCTTCATTGAGGGTGGCAGTTTTACCGAATGTTTATTTTAACCCACAGAATGTGCACAACTTACGCTGAACACCTTAATTTAGGTCTAAATATAGTTGTAACAAATCATCAAGTCCCCATGACGTCACGTTCTTACACCAGTTTACAGTTTAGTAACGATATTTGCTGTCGAACGAGTTACTCTATCGAATAAATCATTCTTACAATTGTCTTGCACAAACCATGTGAAAATAAAGTATTTCATAACATAAAAGTAGATATATACATGTGTGGATGCACGTGAACAGGGCATACAATGCGCGATAACCTCTGGCTACACGTACCATGACAGGTATATATATCATGCGCAAGCAGGCTGTGGAATGATGTCCCTTGTCCACATGATCGAGATAAACTTGTATCCATAAAAGAGTAAAACATTGTTTCATATGTGATATATTTTATTGTCGATATATTTTGACATAAGCTTTACTTGTTTGTATATGACTCTATATTTTAAAAAAAATGCAAAAACTTATTGTTCAGAATATCAAGAAAGTTTAATTTTATAACACTAGGCATGCGCTATACTTTGTTCATCTCTTTTCCAACTTATATATTATTAGGACAATTTTGATTTAATTCCATTTCACTTACGTGAAGGAAGATAACTGTTTGATGAAAAATGTAATCCCTCTGCAAAAGTCCATTTTTTTAAAGGACGACAACTCCCATACAAATCAAAATTATTGTAAAATGAAAAATAAGCGAAAGGAAAAACACATAGTGTATATTTATTTTAACTATTCATCCGTTTTACAAGAAACTATATATTACGTTTGTTTTAAGCTTGTAGATATTTACATTTATGATTACAATTTCAAAGTAAAAAAAAAAGTATATTCCTTTATTATTTGTTGGTATAGTTCCAAGCAATGTCACACACACACACACAACCTTAAAAAATGATAAATATGTAAAAAATGACAAAATCTATTATTTTTTTTATATTTGCCACCTAAAATTCATCTATGTATTAGATTGCTTAGATTTTCTTTAAACATATCTACATGGTTAAATAAGAATTATGTTAATGTTTCAACGAATTCTGCTGGTTAATTGCTGAAGGATAGAGCCTCCCTCAACAAATTATTGAGTAGCGACCCCTGTTCATTTTTTACTGACATAGGGGAAGCAACTCTTACGACCTTACAAAATGACAATTTTGAGGAAATTAGTCAATTTCGACATTTCAGATATCCGTATGGGAAAACACGTGCTGCTAATATTTTGAGAGATAAGGACCTTGGAAATGTGAAGGTCATCTCAGGATGGCGTTAGCTAGTGAAATAACCGCTCTTGTCGAAGACGAAATACGAAAAAAAGTTGTTTAATGTGTTAGTTTGTACACAGTGATGTTGAAAAGCTTCATTAATCATGTTACATTATCATCTCGGTTGCCTCTTTCAGAAGTTTTACTTTCTTTAGTCGAAGTTTTTCTGCAAATGAAATTGTTTATTTCTGATAAATTTTCGAAGAAAAAAAAGGTATTGAACTGATTGTAGGATATAAAAAATGAAGTAAATATTATCTTATTGAAATTATTTAGAAAATTAATAAGGTTTAACTTATCTCATACATATAGTGTAATATCAATGAATCAATCAATCTGCCGTACCTTCAACTATAAGTTTGCATTGGCATTATCTTTCATGCTATGAGTACAGCTTTGTAAAAACAAATCAATCACTTGCAAAATTCCATGAAAACATTTAATTAAAAAATATAACAAAATTTAAAAAAGGATATGAACCTAGGATCCCCGATCACTATATTGCCTTTCTGTTGATACTCCTTATGAACAATGCATGTCTAGAGACTGACAAGAGACAATGTTTTCTTGGCGTTCCTTTCCAGGATTGAAGAAATCCTTAAATGTGCAACCGATTGTTTTAGTGGTAACTGTCGGTGAAATGTGTCTGTCCAGCCGTGGATTGTCGCTTTGTTAACAGCTTACTTCTTCCGAATACAAGTACTGGCATTTATTCTGAATCAATAGTATCATCAAAACAACATCGTAATTATCGTTATAAACAAGTAATTTATTTTTAAGTTTTACCTACTATATCCCACTATGTTTACTTCTTGCTGAAGGGCCCGAATATTGCGATAGTTCGGTCGTAGTTATTTTTATCACCGGCTTTCCCAAAAGATAAAACTGACCACATTGGACGTTGGTTTCAGGTCATGTCATTATCAACTACGTAGACTTTCTTTAGGATATCTATATTTTCAGTATATAATTGGTCTTAATGCTGTTGCTTGAGTAAATAGCCTCTTTAACAGAACAATATTTGACTTTAGTCTTGTAATCAACGGTATACATATTATGGTGTTTAATTTACCTCTGACCTGTAGTAGAACTATCTATATATGTATGTCCTTACCTGTTGGAATTGTAATCACTAACAGACTATTGTTGAGATCAATACCTTCTACGACTCATTCTTGGGAAGAATAACAAATAGGATCATCTTTATTTTCGTTAACACCGGTAATTTGATAGTACAATCTAACAGCATTTACACGCGATTAATGACAACAGCAATATATATAAAACATTTTAAAAACAATCACGCTATTTCCAGGAAAAAAAACCCGAATCCGTTCTTGTCTTTCACAACTTCCAGAACGATTAAGGAGGAACTAAATACAACGATTATCGCTTTTGGCAAAGAAAGTTTAAGGATATACTTTGAGTTTGTAACCCCCACATTGCGCCAAAACATCTTTGATGGGAATAAAATATCCCTCTCGACCTCTTCCAGCAAAGAACAGTCCAACACACTCGAGTTTGCCTTCGGCGTTTTTCACAAACACTCCCCCTCCAGAGTCACCTTTCTTATGACTGACACGACACAGTATTTTTGTTAAACCCCTCATAAGAACTTTACCCTGAGGATAATCAATCTTTTCTTCGTGTCCTATCGCTGAACAGACACAGTTCAAGTCTGAAGTATAGGCGCCGAATTTCAAAACGGGACTGTCCGGCAGGTAATCGCCAATGGTTCCTGTGTTGAAAGTCAATCCTTCTGCAATACCTATAAAACAAAAATATCGTCACTATATTTGCCAAAATATTTTGTTTTTCATTATTCATTACGTTGCAGATGATTTCAGACACAGTGGTAATGATTATTAAACTAATTCTGCTTTGAAATTGACGTTGTAATAGAAACATATTTCAGACTGTAACATTCTACATTTTGATATTATGTTTCTATTACAAGGTCAACTGTATCATCTTCTGATCATCCTTTCTCAAGAAATATTGATTAGAAAAGTAAACGAAGGAAAATCGAATTATTTTTATCAATAAACTTTTGTGTTTTTTGAGAAATCGATAAGATATAGTTTTAGTCTTTTTCAAAAGTCGATTTTGTGGAAACGAGCAAAGCCTATCAAATCAAGGTTCGCAAAACGTTATCGTAGTCGTATCATAAATTATAAAGTATTTAAAGTATTTTGTTGAAATACTTTAGTCTTTATGATATTGAGAGTAAAGTAGGGCAGTGAACTCTGCGATTTCTTCCAAATATATTCAAAGATATTTATCTAGTTTACCTTATTTATTCAATTTTTCTACGTCTTTTCTATTTAATTTTGTCAGATTTGATTTTTTTTTTAACTTTGAAAATTAAAAATGAGTCTGTTTATCTATTGTATAAATGATAGACAAAAACAAAATGCAAACCTGCAGCAAGGAACGCATTTTGTTGAATAGAAACGAAGTTGATTGATCTTGGAATTCGCAACGCAGACGTAATTTTCACGACAGCAGCATCAATAGACGGATCGGCACTTGGTTTGAAGGCCATTTTCACTACTTCACCACAGAGAAAATCTTCATTAGAGTCTTTCTCTGGTTGATAGACGAGATGATTGCGTCCGGACTGAACACCAAAAGCAGGATTGCTATCAAGAACATGCGCACAAGTGATAAATCCTGTTTCCTGATTGGGCAATGCAACGAAAGGTCCTATTGTCCCGCAAACCTTGTTGTCTGCACAACTTCCGACGATGAGACCTCCACATGCCAAAGGTTCAAGTTTGTCTGACGGGTGACTGGTCAACAAGATAATATATTCTTCTCGAACGTCAACTGGAAAGCAGATACCCTTACAACGCAAAAAACGAGGGAATTCTTCTTCCTTCTCAGTTAGAAATCCTTTGAACTTGCAACACAGAACAATACAGTTATCTCGGAAAGCTTTTCCACCCGTAGTACGAACGGCCGATATACGAATTCCGTTGAGGTTTTCGTGATTTCTCCAAAGAGTGTCACTGTTCGCATCAACTACATATTTCATCAGTGCGTTTTCTTCTTTCGACAGACCGTGCACTTGCATATCTAATTCAAAGTCGATGGCTCTTGCATTGTCCTGGTCAAACCCGTTAGTGTTTTTGTATATCGTTTTTATTCCAGCTATTTTCGAACATACATCGTCGAGTTGATCGGTGGTATAAATAACTATGACATTTTCACCAGTTGCAATCAGTTTGCCATACTGAACATCTTCGTGTTTCTCTAGAAGCTGGGTCAGAATTCCTCTGACGATAATATTCTTTGTTGAGATGGTTCGAATACCAGCCAAACCTTTTTCGATGGTTCTGAAAGACGAATATTTTGCTAATATCTCCAGGACGGATATGTTTTCACTGTGCATTGCCAGTTCTAACGGTGTCATCTTCCCATATTTTGGCAGCTGCAGGTTGGTGTAAGGATGGATATCGGTGTCAACTTCAACATTGACATCTTCAAGAAAATCTTCAATCAGCCTTGAGCATTCCGTCTCTGATCCACTGACTGCACAAAGATGTAGTTCAGTCCAGGTCGACCAAGAGTTGCCTACAGATAAAATAAGTTAATATCAAGTTTTCTAAAGGTGAATATAAGACAGAGTTATTGTACGTTTAACATTTGGTGATATATACCGTATGCCAAAAATATAACTACACTGCACCATACAGCTGTTTCGTCCTTATAGAACTCACCGGTTATGATAAGTCTAAACTTTAGAAAGATATCACGGTACATAAAACCCATTAATTAGTTTTAACTTAATATTGAGCTGATATGTTTTAATTTGCGTTACTTCATTATTTTATTTTTATGACATCCAAAGTTTTTGTGTCGTTCTAAAGTCCAGTATTGTATAAAATCAGAAAACATTTTGTTTAAATACATATCGCTATTTTGTTCCTTCTTTTGTTTTTACAGAAGATCATCTTAAACGATGTGTTAATCTGTAGAAAAAATGTGTAAATACAAATGATGTGACACTTTGTGAATTTCGTGTCCCACTCTACAGGAATCAGCAAAGAAAATATCTTCAAATTTCAATTTGTTGTAGCATTACGTAATATGATTTGTACATGAGTATGCAATGTACATTGTTTTGGGTAGCATCCGATGATTATAGTCATGAAAAATACTAAAATTGATTCAGCAGTTCTTTGCGATTATTTCTTTCTCATTTTTACCTCGTTAGAGAGGCATGATTTGAATATAAGATCAGCTTATTTGACACTTGATACATAAATTGTAAACAAGTAAACAATCGTCAGTATTTTTTAAGGATTCCAGTGCCACTCCGAAAACTAATTCACTGAAAGCATTTTTAGGGTAAATGGTTAAAGGTTTGATCAATTATTTCTAAAATAAAATAATGTTTTGCGGAACTCTTATGAATAATAATAAAAAATACAGAAAAAGCAAAACTAATTGTATTGGTCATAACTGTTATCGAGCTCCATCAATATATATTCCCTCTTACGAATAGTCCGTCCGTTTGTCTTTCCTTGTGTTTATTGTGGCTAGAGTGAGCTCTCCGGACAATGATAGTACCCTAGCTATCTTGTCTTACAGTTATCCAGAATGGTCCGTCCGTCTGTCTATTTCGGCTAGAGTGAGCTTTCCGGTCATTGATAATACCCTAGCCATCTCGTTCTATAGTTATTTCCAGAATGGTGCGTCCGTCAGTCTGCCATTTTGGCTAGAGTAAGCTCTCCGGACAATGATAGTACCCTAGCTATCTTGTCCTACAGTTATCCAGAATGGTCTGTCCGTCTGTCTATGTTGGCTAGAGTGAGCTTTCCGGTCATTGATAATACCCTAGCTCTCTCGTTCTATAGTTATTTCCAGAATGGTCCGTCTGTCCGTCTGTCTTTTTCGGCTAGAGTGAGCTATCCAGTCATTGATAATACCCTAGCCATCTCGTTCTATAGTTATTTCCAGAATGGTGCGTCCGTCAGTCTGTCTATTTTGGCTAGAGTAAGCTCTCCGGACAATGATAGTACCTACTACAGTGGAATCGTCCAGTGTTTTGCCTGTAGTGTGAATATAATTCTTAATGTAACATTCTTACCTTTAACCTCAATATTTTGCGTCATACCGATGAGGTTCAAGAGGTGATTGTGATGTTTCTCCTTTGCTAAATCAAGGATAGTTTTTCCATCGTTAGTTGTAATTCCGGTATCAAAACCTGCCTTCTGAAGCAAACGATATATTTCAGCGTCCCCGTTTCTGACGCAAATGTGCAAAGCATTTAAACCTTGGATGTCCAAATCAGCTCCCTTGTTGATACAATGGGGGCGCTCATTTAAAAGGTACTGCACAAATTTGTATTGCCTATTAGCAACAGCTATATGCAGTACGGTGCTTCCATCTGTGCTCTTCGAGCCCAAATCAATCTTGTCTTCAATACAATTCTCTAATTGTCGAATGTCTCCACATTTGGCTGCTTGGAACAGAGTCCACTTACTGCACCCAAGAACTTTGGTGTTATATCTGTTACCTGTAAGGACATTAACACATCAACGTACTAAATCTGCAATCGAATTTAGACTTGTTCATTATTTTTGTAATTTTCCTTGGCAAAACTTAGTTATCACTTTATTTTTACCATATCATATAAATGGCAGTTTTATATACTTAAATCATTTTTCGTTGTTATTGTCTTTTTGTAGATTCTTGCCGTCTATTATAAATCCGAGGTGCTTCAATCTCAAAACAATGAGATATTATTAATACTTACAATATGAACAAAAGAGAAACACTATCAACTGAAACCTTAAAATTTCGTTATTTATACTGTAGGCCTAACATGAATTACACTGCATCATACAGCTGTCTTGTCCCTCCAAGACTCGTCGGTGTTTCTAGGGGCAAATAAGTTAACAACTCAATTGGTCTTAACTACATTTGAAACAGAAGGGGGAGCGGGTTAAGCCCCCGAATTAAAAAAAAACGAAAAATAGAGGAGTAGCTGTATAAATAATGATTGAAGTGGGTAAATTATGAACCGGTCTAACTATGTCGATGAAGTTAACTAAATTCTTAGGATTTTTAAAGTATAATCAAGTTATCAAGGGAATGGACACTTCGTTCAGAACGATGATCTTCTTGTTATTGTGTTCGGGTGGCGCAATGGATAGCGCACTTGCCTTTTACCAAGGCGACCGGGGTTCGAATCCCGATCATACGTGATGAGGTATGAGGTCACCTGCCCGACCTAGTGGGTTTTCACCGGTACTCCGGTTTCCTCCCCCATTAAGACCCCCTAGCGCTTTCATCCGGGCCAACAAGAGTGATTAATATAAGTTGAAATAACTAGTTTCACAATTGTTGTAAAATACATAAAGTTTAAATAATTATATATTCTTATGTTGACTTCTTTGCATAATTTGTGTTTGTTTCAAATTTATAATACATGATGTGACATTCTGACTATCAGTTGCATTTAGATGACAATGTTTACAATCTGACACAAAATATCAGCAAAATGTAAATAATTTTATATTTAAAATAAAAGAGGTCAGTTGCGCATTATAACAATAAAAAAAACGCAATATTTCTTGATTTTTCCGATTTCTTTTGTGTTGATCGTAAAAGGTTTAATCTAACATACAAGGTCATTTACTGCCCTTTAGTATAATGCTATATTAAACATTATCAAATATTTAACCTACCTGATATTACAGTGTGATGACGATATATTCGTATAGGTAATCTCATTTTCAATATAAATCCGATTTCCAACCAAACAGGATATTAGCAGAGTCCACAAAAGAACACAGTGCGTCTTTACACAGTCAAAATGTCTGCTCTTTAATTATATGCTTCTAGTTAAGTTTAAAGGAATTATAAGTTAATTGATATTGCATTGTCATGTCAAAATGTACAGTACATATTAATTTGACCAAAGACATATCTGAATGGCCTTATGACAACCAACGGTAAGATTTGGCACACAGTCATACACACAGTATTGTGTATATCAAACATTGTTCTGTCGTTTGTCAGGCGTTACATTGTGTTTAAACAAAGCCAGCTATTTTGACATAGTCGTCATTTGCAAAACAAAATGTTAAGGGTTAGGCTACGAAACAATTTGCCATCAACAATATGTTTATCAACTGTTATATTCACAGCTTATATCAGCATGATCATAACTGCAATCAGTTATCTAAAGCCAAGCAATCAGCGGAGACTTATACTGAGATATAGTTTAGCTAGTTAGGAGAACAGATTGTTATAGTTGGAAGACATTTAAGTATACTGCGCTTTAAATTTTGCGGTGTCAATATTTCGCGGTTTCGTATTCAGTACATATTCGCGAGGGTTAAACTTCGCTGTGCACCCGAATCCCATGTGTCGTGCAAAGTATTTTCCGTGTCATCATTTAAGGGTTAAACCTCGAAACACAGGTAAACCGTTTGGTAACACTGATACAGAGCGTCGTCATCCGCCAGTGACTTCACTCGACATAACATCAAATGTCTATGTACCTTTGTAGGAATAAACTGTGATCAATTAACCACCTATTGTTTACACACAAACCTGTTGTAGCCACTTATATGTAAGTGTTGTTTTTACATGAACTGTCCAGTTGTCTTGTGATGATCTGATTTGAGTTCATTTAAGCTTGCATAACAGCGTTAGAGTAATTTGTAATTTTATTTTTTTCGGATATTAGTCAAAGCGCGAATATAGCAAAATTAAACCCCCAACGAAATATAACATTAACAGTTTCTGTGTTTGTCATATACATGTTTATTTCATTACATTTATATCCTACATGTGATTCAATGATATCTATGTAAACATAAGTCTTTATGAAATACCAATAACACATATGAGTGAACCTTATAAATAGTACAGTAAAATACTTTTTGATAACTAGGGCAAAAAAGTCACCTTAGGACTAGTTTGTTGATTGGAAAACTAGTTTAGCCGCCCTGTCATCATTCGATTTAACCAGACCATAAATATACAGATACACCCTTTGTGATTACACAAAACGTATCGTGGTCGTATTCCTTATTTGCAAACAATAGCAATATATACAGGACACAGTCCATTGTAGTTGTAACAAAAGCAATGCCAGTTGCTTAAAACACTGTGAATTGAGAAGACATGGGTGTATAATTTTAAAACCTGTGTTTACGTAAATATCCGGAAATTCATGAGATTGTATGCTACACTAGTCTTCCGACGATCTTATTAAATTTTGATACTATTCTTCACATTGTATTTAATTGAAAATTAATATATTTCTAAAAGGAAATTTAAGTTTGCAGTCCGCCATGCTAAAAATGCTTCAAACAAGAACACGAACTCAAACCTAATAAAATGATAAATAAAAGACAATTTTTTTTAATACAAAACGTAAACAACTTGTAAAATATTCGCTCCATTATTTAAGTCTTTTCATTTTTGATCAATTTTAGGGTGAGGACATTAATGAATTATTACATTATGTTTTATTCAAACAGTTTATGTTCTATAAATAATACACCATTACTAATTGGCTATGTGTTAAAATGATGTATTTGATATATATGACAGGTTTGTGAAGATATCGAGTTAAAAATATGATATTTTTGTATGGCGTTTATTTCTCCACGATCCTTGTGCTGATAAATGTCCGTATTGGTTAGATCATATGACATATGCAAGGCTCACCACACTTAGATTAATTTGTCATTATATATAAAATGTGCAATTATGATTAACAGCATGAGTTCATTTCAAATGTTAATGCATATCCCGGATTTCTTAAAACATTTCAATATGCCACCACAGGGCTGACAACAAAATAGATTTGGTTAAGTATGTGTGTCTACATGAAGGTTCCAAATAACGATGAAGTATGTTCTGAAAAAAGATCATTCCGCAGTTTAAAGACGTCTAGAATATTGTATCATATATATGTTTCGCAAAAGCTGAAATGTAATATCATATCTCACATAGGTAACATAGGTCTGCAAAACCATTTTGGGATCAATATACATATTTCTTCTTCAAACAACTATACGCAGATATTTAACTAAATACGTTGTCTTGAAAGCAATTCTGTACTATATATGATTGGTGCTAATTTCCAGCCGTGATTGGAGGAGCGACGTCATGTGACGAGTCTGTAAATCTGCTACAGACCTCGTGCTATGAATAGAAAAGTATTCGGCCTCGGTGAATATTGTTCAAACCAGGTCCGTTAATCAGCGATTTACGTCACCTGAAGATCATAATTGTATACTACAACAGGTTTAAATTTTTATTATTTTTCATGTACATAGATATATAGATTTAAATGTGACTAAAAGGAATTTACATATTCCTCTGTTGTGAGTTCTATAAAAGTATGTTATACTGGTCAGTAATAATAACATGATTTTATTGTTTTTGGAAGTCCATTGTTATAATTGAACGTTATACAATACACAATATAACATGAAATATAACATTTATTCAATCTATTATATCAAATTAATGTGACGTCATCACTACAATGACATCAAAATGATTGCAGACAAGAACCATTGAAAGGTGGATATTCGAATTGACAAGAAAAAAACACTTAGAACAAAATACATTTCTAAAGTGTCTGCGGATAAGAGATTAAAAAAATATATTTCGTCATAAGTCAACTTTTTTATATATATATATGATTTGATGCTTATGGAACATTGATATACTTATATTTTCAACATTCACTTTTAATTACCATGTTCACAGTGAAAAACAATTACTGCACTAATTGATATGTTTCCATTTTCTAACTTTGTATATATATACGAATACGATTGTATTAAAAAAGATACATAAAAATATACACTTCATCAATAATACTCTGTTTAATAATAAGGGACATGATGAAATAATAAATACGCAAGTTTAATTTCAACAGCAATATTTAATGATTAACAATTTCATGAAACCCGTTTTTTGTATAGAGGTGACTATACTGTGAATTTTAATGAAAGTTTCATAAAAAAGAAATTTTGAAAATGCAGAATAAAGATGTTTTTTAACTCTGAATATAGTAACCGTAATATTACTAAGTCACTTGGTTATATTAATTACATAAAAAACTCATTATCATATTATTAAAAGTATAGTTAGAATTACCTGCTGAAAATATAAATACAAATATATTCGATTTTAACCTTTTTATATCATTAACTGTATTTCATTAACTCATTTTATACATTTGCATGCTATATTGTGTTATGTAAATATACAAAACTTTTAACAAAAGGACTTACCGTGTGTATGTAATGCTTGAAAGTAGTATTTACTAATCTTAATTTTTGTTCGAACTATTTATGTGTGTTTATTTATTACTCATAGTATTTGGTGTTATTCAGACTTGTTGGGATTGTCATAGCCGGAACTATAGAGACCACCCAATGACTTAAATAATCACAAGACTGACCATGTTTTGATTGTTTCTAAGACAGTTTAATTAAATTATGTTAATCCAGAGATAAACTAATTGGTATTCGTTTTGACAAAGGATTAAATCAAATCAATTTTACTCTGAGCTTGCTATTGTTCCTGTTATCAGCATGTCAACAATATCAAAATCACAACGGAAGGAGGTGTCAAAACACAATGGAAGGAGGTGTAACAACGGACATTTATGAAGTCTGTATCCCCTTATGGACGTCTGAATTAGTGTTTGGCTAATGTGTACTTGTTATACTGTGTACAATAGAATTGACGTCAACTTTTTATTTAGAAACCGTGTATAGCTATTGTTATTAATCAACGTTGGTCTTTTAATTTGCCAGAACAAAATATCAAAGACAGGAAGATACTATTACATGACCTTTTATGAAGTGCGTTAGATTAATAGCGATACTAAATATATTCTTTATTGTGTTGATATTGGTCCGACAATATACATGACTAATTTACCGTGCAATTAATTACTTTGTTCGGTTAAAGAGAATATTAATGAAACGTCTAGGTATGTAAACGACTGAACATTTATGACAGGATTTCATAACCATAATTTTCGACAAACTTTCCCTGATTACTGCTGTCTAAAAGACTACCTGCTTATAAAAAATTGTCTTTAGAGATATAAAGCTTTCTACAAGTACCCAAAGAATTGAAAAAAAAAACCTGTTATAAAAATGATTTCTCTTTAAAGCTCAGTATCCTTATTCAGCTTGGACGTTTTTCATAAGCTCAAGTGCATATAAACATGAAATAGTTTATTTTTATTTTTGTGTTGATTTCAACATCATTAACAAATAAGCTTTTATGAAGTATGTACGTGAAGTCTAACATTGATGGGAGGGCTCTCTCAATCCCTTAGACACCTATTTTCACTGTGAGAGATATCTTGAATATCTTTTTTTTATTTTATTTATTTATTCATTCGATATTCTTATACGATGGCAATATTTTATTTATATTTTGTAATGTTTTGATTTGGGTGTCCTAGTTACTGGCTTTCCCGACTGAATCTTTCATAAAATTGGTCATTTTGATTTAAAAAATGTTATATATCATTATTGTTTCCAAACAATTTTCTATATATACAATTATTTTATATTTTTACATCAAATCATATTGATTCCTTCTATATAACGTTGTGGATTGATGCTATAAATGGTAAATGGTAAGTGCCTATCTACTATTATATCTAACCAATATCATTACATTGTATGACACAATAAACATTATTGGCTTGATTTGATTTTATAAGTTTCCAAGTCATTCAACTGTTATTTTATATAAACTTTATTTATTTTACAACAACTATGAATTATTATGTTTTATTTAGTTTTTTCTTAATATTGATTTATTCATTTTTTGCTGACTGTTTAATCGGCAATTCCATGTTTGTATGCCGATCAATACACCATATACAGAACATGAATTGAACCATATCAGTGACGTATTCATAAAAGACTTACTCTAATAAGAAACCAATATAAGGTCGGTTAGGATTGCACTGGTATGAAAACATTTGCTGAATCGTGGAAGGTTTTTCATTTATCAAAGAAACTTTTCGGAGTGGTATGGTTTCTAAACCAAAATCGAAATGATATTTACCCTTCACTTGTTGTCAAATGTTTTCGGTCGACATCGAAGATTATTCCATTATGGAGTCCGAAATGTTGATTTATGAACACTGGCACATAGTATTTTCAGAGTGGAAACAATCAATAATTGCTTTCCTTGCCTTGCTTTAATTCTTCAGCCTAGCGCGCGCCTCGAGGTTTAATTCAGATGAATGCTTTATATGGAGATATCTGCAGTCACAGGGGCCAAAAGAGTTGGCCATGAGACAGGCGGTCCTATGCTTGAAGTTTGCCATCATACCTATCAGCTAATGTTTTACAGACAAGAGGTCAGTATGAGTCCTACTGTTGTTATAAACGAGTTCAAGGACATGTTGCATTACCGGCGGTTTTCTTTCTTATTGTTTTTGTTCCATTTTTTTTATTATGATTATTTCTTATTCCTTTTGTCAGTTTTTTTTTCCTTTTCCGAAGTGGTATCCAGAGTCTTGCTCAGTCTGCTGGCCGGATACTTAAAAAACTTTACATGCACATTTGTTGGCATATGTCTAATTTGTCAAGTCATTGATACACTTACAGTGTAAGGGTATACGTCAAGGTGATGCTACAGTTCCCCTTTTTTTAGATTTTACTCCAATTAAGTATGACAGGGAAGTATCGTGTTTGTGACTTCGGTTGAAGTTGACATGTAAAACTTTCTCTGCTTTTCTTTTTTCCAAATGTTTCCGGACGTTTGCTAAGAGAGCAGAAGTCGGATCCTTATTTGGCGAGTTTATAAAATAACGCATTCTTTCCGATCAGTCATTACTGGCATTGGATTAAACTTCTGATATGCCGATAGAGTTTGGGTTTAATAAAAGGCTGTACGCCAAAGTTATGCTTTTGGTCCACTTCCATTAGGGCTGCAACGATACCCATTCCTCACAATACAATACGAATCATGGTACGATGCTTTCGATATGATAGGTATTACGATACAAATATCTGTTTAAAAGGTCAACTTCTTAATAATTGAGTGCCGGATTTTGACATAGATTTTAATAGTAAACACTATCAAAATGTATTTTTGTATAATTTCTAGCACCTTTGGGTATGGCTGCACAGTGTACCACAGCTTTACTGAAGGATTTAACAAATATAATTACACCTTTATAGAAGTTTGATAAAAAATTATTGATAATTTAAGTACTGTTAGTGTATAACGATACAGACAAACAAGAAAATTCGATACGATAAACAAGAAAGTATCGTGTTACGATACAATACGATATATCGTTTCAGCACTACTCTTCATCATGACTTTAATGTTGACTTCTTTCCCCTTGCCAAGATATACCAAATTCCTTAAAAATGCCAGTTGCTGTTCTCTGCTTACCGTTCAGCGATAATGGTAATACCAACAACTGGTTCAATCGTTGTCAATATAATGTGACCGGGCGGAATGTTGTGCTGAGTGCCTTCGGCATGGCATTTCAGTGCGTTAGCACTATAAACTCGGCATCAGATTTTCGCTATCACAAGGAGGAAAATACACCAACATACCCTGTCACCGGCACACATACACACATGCATTAATAATACACATGAAGGCATGTCCTTAAATGACAAATGACCCCAGCAGATAATGAAACGTGGAACCATATAGAACCAAATCCACCATAGCTATGGTCATAAGTGTAACATCACAATGACAAAATAACGTCAATTTTAATGAAGAGTGGATTCGAATCTTAGAAATGATTTACAACTTCTACAAAAACTAGACAATACTAATAGTTTGATCTGGTTTATATAGTTTAGCGTCCTATCAAGGATTCCCAAACCACTGCTAAAAATAATCTTGCATTGGAAACATTTTTTTTCGGCATTGCAATAGCTTTGATAAATCATTCTAGAACGAAAAACATACCTGTTTTTGGGTTTTTTTTTTAAACCCATAATAAGGGTGGATCAAAAATACTAATCAACAACAGTGTTCATGGTGTAAAAAAAAAAGAGCAGGACTAGATCGAATTCGAACTCCGGACTTCAGACTTTTGCACTATCGCTCCAACCGGCTTAGCCGCCTTGCAAACGTACATCCCCTTTTCCAATGGAGCTACAGTTATATTCAACATTTTATTAAGGGAAGGTAACTGTAAAAAAAACGCACACAGCACAGTGAGGAATTAATCCTTAACTGTTAATGACATCATTTTATTAAAGGGAGGTTACAGCTAATACAAATACAGTATAGCAGGGCTCCTTAACTGTCAGTAATATTAAAGATCGAAAGAAAGACACGTACAGAAGGAATATGACCTAAGATTGTCCAGACCTGTCCTATTCTTTATACCTAGGTATATATTGATTTCTCTCTAAGATACGCTTTAAGAAGGTTAAATCCTTTCATAACTAACCAGCGTAATTCTTTCAAACTTTCATGTAATAGCTTTGCAACTATATAGAAGTGTTTTCATGAAACTCTAAGCATTCTGATAGACTGGGGATTATTTTGAGGTAAACCGCCCAGAAAATTGAAATGCCCGATGCGCAATACGACAGAAAAAAAACCTTGTGTATTACGAAGAGTTGAACGTCCTTAATATCAATTCCTATAGTCCTTCAAGTTTCAAATGCCGTTATTGTATTCATCCAACGACATCGTTCGTTTCTCGGTGTAATCTGATCAGAAGGGACATCTTGATCGATAACAGCTCATTCGTTCCGTTCAAATGATCATATTCAGTGAATAATACGCCAACGAACAAAAATAGCCATTGTCGAATTACCATGTATTGTTTAAAATGATATACAAGAGAACAATGTCAATGCTAATATCTCATCGAAGGTTTAAATGTACATTGAATTATCTTAAGCTTTGTTAGCTTATTACCGCATTAACCTAAATTTTGAAAATAAAATATCTTTTGCAATATTTTTTTTTGAATATGATTTAATTCTAAACTATCTAAAGGGCATTGTTTTCAATCCTAATACGAGTGTATGTAGTTCTTAATTTGAATATTCACTGAAATAATGGCGATATGATTGCTAAACTGATTTGGTATTAAGCTGATGAGTATTCAAGCAAACTAGTCCACATGAGCGATCTATCTAGGCTCTTTTAGTACATACACATTCCATACGTGTGTGCTAAGGATTGAATTATCAGTAAAGCCAAATGAGTAAAATATCGATTGTAGGCACGTGTTTTATATATTTTATGGAGCCTCGGAAATATATTGCAATACGCATACAGTGATATATTATGTAGAACACATGACTTTAGGGTGAATTCCTATAAAAAAAAATGTATAAATGGATATGGAATTTAAAATATAGCGAATTCATCAACGAATTCAGTGCTGTATTTCAATCCCTGGCGATGCTGTATTCAAATCAGGATTAATTATATCTACTATGAAGGTAAAACGACAGTGTTCTCTTCGGATTCGGAAGCTGGCAAGATGTTTTCTGTTGACATGTGTACTGCTAGCTGTGGCTGTAAACATCACCATAGTCAGGGCAATGTTTTATGAAAACTGGGGATATATGTCATTCTTCAGCAAAACAAGGAGACAAGATAATAAACATTCTTCATTAAATCTGCAGCCAAAAATTCAGATCACAACAACACACATTGCATCAGTTGAGTCTCCTAAATGCATGTTTTACGAGTCTAGTACGTATACATCAGAAACTTTCCGCGATTCTCATTTCATGACAGTGAGTTTGAACGGTCGCCTTGGTAACCAAATGTTTAAATATGCCTCTTTACTTGGACTTGCTGCCCAACATGGATATACACCATTCTTACGAAGAAAATCTCTACTTTTTTCTGTCTTCGAATCTCAGAGATATTTTCATCAAGTTTCTATGACAAATGACGTTTCATTCGGTGAACATCATGCAGGGATATATGACTGTAGGATTCACAACTTCACTCATTCCAAAAACATAACACTGCATGGATACTTTCAGTCTTGGAAATATTTTCACCATATCAGTGCGCAAGTCCGGAAGTTGTTTCGGTTTACTGGCGATATTGTAAGGAGAGCTAAACTGGCTATAGATAAATTCCATCCTGGTAATAGAACACTGATAGGCGTGCACGTGCGACGAGGTGATATGAACACTCGGCGTGAATTGCAACGTGGCTACAATGTAGCGGACCTTAAATACTTCCAAAAGTCGTTTGAGTACTTCCGGTATAAATTCGAAAACGCCATGTTTATTGTTGTAAGTGATTCAATCAGTTGGGTGAAAACAAATCTTGCTGCCAAAGATGTCGTCTTTAGTGAAACCGGCATTGCGTATTTGGACATGGCCATACTTGCCCAGTGCAAGCACAGTATTATTACTTCCGGAACATTTGGATGGTGGGGTGCATACTTAGCAGGGGGATCAACCGTGTATTTCAGGGATTTTCCCAAGCCAAAAACGTGGCTAGCCGGGCAATATAACAAAATGGATTACTATCCTCCTCATTGGATTCCTATGTGATTATATTAGGAGCAATGAAATTAATAAATTCTCATCTCTATAGTATAACAACATGATTTAACACGTACTTGTCTAGGATGATTCGAATCTAGTCAAAACAATATATGTTAACATAAATTAAAAAAATGTTCATTTTTTACTTTGTCTGTTCATTTGTTAATTAACGGAAATAATGTGTCTGTAATAAATCGGAAGTTTTTGACGATTTGTTTGCAAAATAAAAGCGCGTGTGAGCTTTCATTTCTTAGTACAGTGTAAATAAAAGCAGGATTTAAGTGCATTGTGAGTGTTTTTTCCTTAGATACAGCGTAGGTAAAACAAGATTTATAGCGCGAATAAACGTTCTTTTCATAATACAGTACTACAGTGTAAGTACAAAAGGTTTATAGCGCTAGTGAGGTATCTTTCCTAGGTACAGCGGTAGGTAAAACAAGGTTTATAGCGCTAGTGAGTTATCTTTTCTTAGGTACAGACGTAGGTGAAACAAGGTTTATAGCGCGAATATACTTTATTTTCTTAGAGCAGTACGACAGTGTACGTAACAAAGGTTTGTAGCGTATATCAGGTCTCTTTCCTAAGTATGGTGTAGGTAAAAAGAAAGTTTGTAGCGTGTGTCAGGTCTATTTCATAAGTACGGTTTAGGTAAACAAAGGTTTGTAGCGTATGTCAGGTCTCTTTCCTAAGTACGATGTAGGTAAAAAAAAAGGTTTGAAGCGTGTGTCAGGTCTCTTTCCTAAGTACGCTGAAGGTAAAAAAAAAAGGTTTGAAGCGTGTGTCAGGTCTCTTTTCTAAGTATGGTGTAGGTAAAAAAAAAGGTTTGTAGCGTGTGTCAGGTCTCTTTCCTAAGTATGGTGTAGGTAAAAAAAGGTTTGTAGCGTGTGTCAGGTCTCTTTCCTAAGTACGGTGTAGGCAAAAAAGGTTTGTAGCGTGTATCAGGTCACTTTCCTAAGTATGGTGTAGGTAAAAAAAGGTTTGTAGCGTGTGTCAGGTCTCTTTCCTAAGTACGGTGTAGGCAAAAAAAGGTTTGTAGCGTGTATCAGATCACTTTCCTAAGTATGGTGTAGGTAAAAAAAAAGGTTTGTAGCGTGTGTCAGGTCTCTTTCCTAAGTACGGTGTAGGTAAAAAAAAGGTTTGTAGCGTATATCAGGTCTCTTTCACAAGTACGGTGTAGTTAAAAAATAAGGTTGGTAGCGTGTATCAGGTCTCTTTCCTAAGTACGATGTACTACAAAATATTTGTAGCGTGTGTCAGGTCTCTTTCCTAAGTGCTGTTAGGTAAAAAAGGTTTGTAGTGTAAGTCGGTTCGCTTTCCTTTGTACGGTGTAGGTTATAAAATGTTTGTAGTGCGTGTCAGATCTCTTTCCTTAATACGTTGTAGGGTCAAAAAATTGTTTAAGATCGTGTGAGAATTTTTCCTTAGTACAATGTAGATACGAAAATGTTAATAGCGGATGGGAGCTTGCTTTCCTTAGTACCATAGGATTAAAACAGTGAGCTATCTTCTCTTGGTACAGTGGGGTTAAAACAGGTCAATAGAGTGTGCGAGGTTTCTTTTCTTATGTACAGTGTAGGTAAACATTGGATAACAACCCTACTAAGCTTTCTATCCTAAGGTACAATGAAGGCTAAGGATGGCCTTCTGGGCGTGTGAGCCTTCTCCCCTTTGGTGCTGTGTAGGTAAAACAGGTTTAACAATGTAAAACAATGCCAGCTTCCTTTTTTTATTCGGGGTGGTGGCGTACAGTAGTAAGAATCAAGGAGACTGTCTTCTTGCGTTTTTTGTACTTGTCACGTATATTTAGGTAATACATATTTATTACCAAACAGCATTCACCAAATCTAGAATGCTCTTTTTAATTCTTTTCGTTACTTGTTTATTGCCTTTTAACACAGAAGAGTAGGATACAAAATTGAAAATGGAAATAATAGCAACACACAAACACTTCTTTGCTGTTTGTGAAAGACAATAAATGTAACACCAGTAAAAAGAAAAAGAAAAACCCGGTTAAAACATTCCCATCTGTATATCATACACACATGGATATCAAAACGGACTGGCATATTTAAAGTAAAAATACGGGAAACGCACAGGGGCCCGATAATTTGTTAAAGTTCGTATGTTTGGACCTATCCTGTTTAATTCTCGGTAATATAGCACATCCGGGTAGGTAGGAACTGTTTCAGATCATCGTGTTCCTGTGGGTACATGTTAATATGATAGGACAGATAATGAGTTTTTACAACAGTCCATAGTACACTCCTTCCACGTATTGTGTACCCGGTCTATACAATCGTTAAATTAATCACGTCTCTTCGATTCCGAAAACAGTTGTATCAGCTTAACGAAAACATGATTTTTTTTCCTAATGTGTACATTTTCCAAAGATTTAAAACAGTGATGAACATAACATTTTATGTTATCACAGGGATTTTTCCTTGACTCTCAAGACATTTAAATTTTGTTTTCAGTTTACAGATTAAAAAAAAAATCACAGATTTAAATTTTATGATAATGTAAGCTGAATAAGCTTGTGGTGACTGCGCATTATGTGCGTATTTTCAAAGCCTGGTTAGCTTCAACTAATAACTGAAATTATTTCTTTTAGATTAATGTTCAAAAATACATATTATATAGCGACTGCTAGTAGTATTGTAATTAGACTTCTGCTTATGCAAACAATTTCAATGACACAGGTCATTTATTGAAAACACCCCAAATAGAGATTGGTGTTAAATTGTCAGAAAGATAACTATTCTTTCAAACTTTTTTTAGCATACCGCCAGCGATACGGGATACTGATAATGTTAACATGTTTAACGACCCCTCCATAGAGATACAATACGGTGGTCGATCAAACAGAAAATCAGATACGGCGTTAAATGTTAAATGTGGGTAAACATCGAACCTGCGTATCAAACAGAAAAGCAATCGATTGTAATTGATAGGTGCGTGGTACAATTATGTATATCAGTACACTATAACACTAACTGACGCTGGGTCTAATTTGATCTTTGTCTGGCAATTGAAATTTTGAGCGTTTTTGTATGCTAACTGTCTACTCCGATTGAGGTTTATGAATTCATTTCTATTTATTTTTTTATTCCTTTTGGTTTTGTTTATCTATTTCTATTTATTTACGTATTTCCGTTTTTTCAACTTTTTTTTTTTTATTCATTTATCCATTTCCATTTATCTTTTTTTGATTTGTATCCTTTTTTGGGGGGAAATGCGAAATGTCCTGAAATCAGCTACATTTTACGTGTTATATCGAAGAATCCGTTCCGATTGTTATTCGAGTTAGCAAAACACTTAAATACTATCTGACTCTGTGTCTGACAATTAAGATTATGACCGTTTTATGTTTTAACCATCCATTTCGATAGATGTTAAGATTTTTATCTATTTTCAGGTTCTTGATGAATATCCAAATTTATTATTAAAAATAAAATAAAAAATGCGAAGTTAAAAAATAATACATCGATAAAATAACATCGAAGTATCCAGGAGGGGAACGTATTGGATTTTAACCGATAGGAACACTAACTGAACTAAAACAGAAAAAAAAAACAATTTACTTTTTGCAGGATACTAAACTTTTAATATTACCAAATAAAGACCTCAACATTTCTTTAGTAAGCAATTTCAAAATGAATCTCATGTATTGTTTTTATTTTTTAAATTTTTCACTTTTGATAATTTTCCATGCTTGCAAAATTGTTTTCTTTGGATAATGAGTATTTTAATTTGTATTATTTTTCTTTGATTGTCCCGAGTTATCTCCCTGAAGTGTATGTCTGAAACAAAATCTACAATCTACATAGTTATTGGGGCTAAATGATTAAATGCCTATCATAACCGCTTAACGTAATAATGTTGGCCTGATTAAGGGCAACATTGTTTATTTTCTTTCAATTTCATTTTATAATTTTGTTAAGATCGTAGATACAACATGGACTTGTCAACCGGCATATCTATATTTTTCCATGTTTCGGCCCTAAACACAGGGACCTGACAATTTCCTACAAACATATTTGGAACTTAACAAAAGGCAAATTTGTTATCACAAAACCAGTTTTGGTTTAAAGTTTCGGTTAAGAACTGGTTCGTGTTTAGTTTCAAAACTGGTTTTGGCTTAGTACTGTTCAAACAAATGTCTGGTTTAACACCGCGGTGTGTGTATCATATTGTATGTTGTCTTTGTATTGTTTTGTATATCTGTTACAACTGATAAGTCAACCGACTTAAAGTAATACAGAACTTGAACTTGAACTTGAACACAAAAAATGACCCCAAAATAAATGTGTTAAACACTAATACTTTATAGTGTTTATCAATGATGACGATGACACAGATGATATCCTCGTGTTATCGGTTTTGATGCAGCCGCGATTCCATACTCATATCAGTAGAAAGCTGTTGAAAAGATTGTCAAAAAAACCGTGTACAATCTACTAAAGGAAAAATAAATACAAAATAGAAGTATTTCAAAAAGATAAAAACAAACATGTTTCCAAAAAAATAACAACAAAGGGATTCATACTCGTTATATCAACAAAGGGACTCGTAATCGTTATATCAACAAAGGGACTCGTACTCGTTATATCAACAAAGGGACTCGTACTCGTTATATCAACAAAGGGACTCGTACTCGTTATATCAACAAAGGGACTCGTACTCGTTATATCAACAAAGGGACTCGTACTCGTTATATCAACAAAGGGACTCGTACTCGTTATATCAACAAAGGGACTCGTACTCGTTATATCAACAAAGGGACTCGTACTCGTTATATCAACAAAGGGACTCGTACTCGTTATATCAACAAAGGGACTCGTACTCGTTATATCAACAAAGGGACTCGTACTCGTTATATCAACAAAGGGACTCGTACTCGTTATAACAACAAAGAGATTCGTACTCGTTATAACAACAAAGGGATTCGTACTCGTTATAACAACAAAGGGACTCGTACTCGTTATAACAACAAAGGGACTCGTACTGCCCTCTTGTCTACAAAAAAATAGTTGACAGGTATGATGGTTAACTTCCAGCATAGGACCGCCTGTCTCAGTGTCAACTCTTTTGGCCCGTGTGACTACGATGATCTTCATATAAAACCACCATCTGAAATAAACCTGG